GGGTACTTCCAGATCCCGATTGCACCGGAGGACCAGGCGAAGACCACTTTCACCTGCCCCTTCGGCACCTTTGCTTACCGGAGGATCCCATTCGGGCTATGCAATGCCCCGGCGACTTTTCAGTGATGCATGCTCGCTATCTTTGACCGTCTGGTCGGCGAGATTATGGAGGTGTTTATGGACGATTTCTCGGTTTATGGAGACTCATTCTCTCACTGTCTCCATAACCTGGAGCTTGTCCTTAGACGGTGTGAAGAAACGAACCTGGCACTGAGTTGGGAGAAGTGTCACTTCATGGTTCGAGAAGGCATAGTTCTTGGGCATAAGATCTCCAAGATGGGGATTGAGGTGGACAGAGCGAAGATCGAAACTATCAGCAAACTGCCTCCTCCTACATCTGTTAAGGGGATCCGGAGTTTTCTTGGCCATGCAGGTTTCTACAGGCGGTTCATCAGGGATTTCTCTAAGATTGCTCTGCCCCTGACGAAGCTTCTAGAGAAGGATGCCCCCTTCCAGTTCACTGATGCATGCACAGCGGCTTTCTTGACCTTGAAGGAGAAGCTCACCCAACCTCCTATCATGGTTGTTCCTGACTGGTCCTTACCATTTGAGATTATGTGCGATGCCAGTGACTTTGCTGTTGGAGCTGTGTTGGGGCAGAGGCGTGATCAGCATTTCCGGCCCATCTACTACGCCTCGAAGACCTTGAATGATGCCCAGGAGAACTACACCACTACGGAGAAAGAGCTGCTCGCGGTGGTGTTTGCCTTCGATAAATTTCGCCCCTATCTGGTCTTGTCCCATGTGATTGTGTATACTGATCACTCCGCGATTCGATACTTGATGAGCAAGGCTGATGCAAAGCCTAGGCTCATACAATGGATCTTACTGCTGCAGGAGTTTGATATTGAGATTCGGGACAAGAAGGGAGCAGAGAATGTTGCTGCCGATCACCTCTCCCGGTTGGACGCACCCCCTGCGGACAACCTCGAGGAGGAGATCAATGATTCCTTTCCAGATGAGAGACTGATGATGATGTGCCTGGTGGAGAGTGTCACCCCCTGGTATTCTGATTTTGCAAATTATCTTGTGGGCCAGCAGCTGCCCAAGGCGATGACCACTCACGCCAACAGGAAGTTTTTCTCCGACCTGAAGTACTACTTCTGGGATGACCCTCATCTCTTCAGGATCGGAGCTGACGGGATCATCCGTCGATGTGTTATGGAGAGTGAGATGGAGGGCATTCTATCTCACTGTCATGAAGGACCTGCTGGCGGTCACCACGGAGGAAACCGCACGGCGAGGAAGGTGCTCCAATCAGGCTTCTACTGGCCCACGCTCTTCAAGGACGCAGACGCCTTCGCACGCAGGTGCGACCGATGCCAGAGGTCAGGTAACATCTCTGCCCGTGATGAGATGCCCCAGAATGTGTTTATTACTTGTGAGATTTTTGATGTCTGGGGTATCGACTTCATGGGCCCCTTCCCTCCATCCTTTGGCAATACATATATTCTTGTTGCTGTTGACTACGTCTCTAGGTGGGCTGAGGCGCAAGTTTTGTCCACTAATGATGCTAGACGTGTTTGTGCTTTTTTGAAGCAGCTATTCTCCCGGTTCGGGACACCTAGAGCCATCATAAGCGACCGAGGCACCCATTTCCAGGGTCAGTTCGATAAATTGTTGTCTCGCTATGGTGTGACTCATAAGGTGTCCGTGGCCTATCATCCTCAAACCAGTGGCCAGGCCGAGCTGACGAACCGGGAGCTCAAACGGATCTTGGAGAAGACGGTGAACCTATCCCGCAAGGATTGGTCCACCAAGCTCGATGATGCTCTGTGGGCATATCGCACTGCCTACAAGACGCCTATTGGTACCTCACCGTACCGGCTTGTCTATGGCAAGGCATGCCATCTGCCCGTGGAGCTAGAGCACAAGGCCTTCTGGGCCCTTAAGCTGCTAAACTTGGATGTTAGTGTTGCAGGTGATGAGCGAAAAATGCAGATGTTGGAGCTGGAAGAGTGGCGTTATCACGCCTATGAGAACACCAAGCTGTACAAGGAGCGCACGAAGCGCCTCCACGATGCACGGTTGCGGGGTCCGAAAGAGTTCCAGGTTGGTGATCGAGTTCTCCTTTATAACTCTCGCCTGAAACTCTTTCCTGGAAAACTCCGTTCCCGGTGGTCCGAACCGTACACGGTCACGCAGGTGTTCCCGTATGGCACGATTGAGATTGCTAACCCGCAAACTGAGCCGTTTAAAGTGAATGGCCATCGTCTCAAGCTCTACCTGGGAGACGAGGTCGAACGTGCGGAGTTAGCAGTGGAGCTCGCGGACCCTTAGTTCCGCAATTGGCGTCCAGCTAAAAGACGGTAAAGAAGCGCTTGTGGGGAGGCAACCCCACCACGGTTTGATTTTCTTTCTTGTGTTTTGAGTCGGATTGTACCCCGGTTTGGGTTTGGTTTGTTTTCTTTTGGTTTGGATGATATTTTATTGGGCTGACCATTGAACCTAACATATTGTGTCTGAGCTCTTCTGTTTCCCTTCGGCTGTGCTTGCCCCGACTGGTCCGCTTCCAGTCCCCTGCCGTCCGTGCATACCGGTAACATCTTTCCCTTCTCCTTCCCTCTTCTCCATTGAGGGCAATGTCGATCTTAAGTGTGGGGGGATGTTTATCTTTTGACTGCATTAGATCTGTTTGTGTGCTTGGAGCCTAGTCCACTGTCCAAATTTTTAAATTTGAGGGCTACAAGTACGTGTTTCCTTGCAATTGCCTGCTCAGTATGCTTTGAATTGACAGTCTTTATAGTAATATGCAACCTAGGGAGGTAGTGTAGCACTATGGAGGATGTTGATGCATTTAAGGAGTCTCATTTCTTCTTCATATTGAGTTGGTTGATTGAGTGAATTAGTGATCTTAGGACCCTTGAATTGTGTGGTGTTGTGGATTCTCTACCTGTCATGGACTCTTGTATCATGTTTTGAGTTTAACAGGTTCTCGAAAATGTGCTTCAAAATAACGTCTCCCGTGCGAATAGGGCGAAAGTGTGTAAGGGGAGACGGGAATCCGTTCCCAATTTCCACCTACTACCTCCAGCCCCCTTGCATGGCTTTCCCCCGCACGAGGCTCGAGACATCCGCTCCTGGCATGGCCGGTAAGAGCAGGTTGGGACCCTTGAAAAGAAAAAGAAAAGAAAAATAACAGAAAACAAGCAAAACAAAAAAAAAGGGGTTCCAACCATCTTCAAAGAAAATAGAGCACCTTGAAAAATGTGAGTCCAGTCCATGATTCTTTGTTTTTGAGAATCTCTCCATCCACAATTCATTTGTCCTCTGTTCACTGTTTGCCATGATGCCGACTCGCCAAAGGAGTTATGAGGTGACTTGTGCGTCGGTTGACCTCGTAAGCTGCTAAATGATCTAGGAAGTCCTCTATCTATGATCTGGGTTGTTTGTTGCTAAAAAGGTCTGGAGAGTTGCATGGGTTTGAGTTAGGTTTGCTTGGGGACAAGCAAACGGTTAAGTGTGGGGGAGTTTGATAGACCGTTAGTTACACATGTTTTCACCCCTGTTCTTACACCGTTTGAGAGGTGGTTTCTCGTGTTTTAGACCGATTTCACGCTAGGTTGTGCTTGTTTGTGATATTTCAGGTCCTGGCAAGTGAATGAAGGTTTAGGAGCGAGTTCGGGGTCGATTGGGTGAAGATCGGGTGCGAGACAGGTCACAAAGGAGGTCACACGGGCTGCCCTGATGTTCACACGGCCGTGTGAAGTAATGGCCTGGCCGTGCGAGTTTTTCCGAGAGCACACACGGGCAGAGCAGAGGATCGGCACGGCCGTGCAAGTGGCCGGTTTGGCCGTGCCACATTCTGCGAGAGCAAACACGGGCAAGAGGGGATGTCCACACGGCCGTGCCATTCTGGCCGTGCAAAGAGCCTGGAATTCGAACTAAATGAAACGATGCGTTTTGACTCACACGGGCAACTGGGTGAGCTGCACGGCCGTGCCACCCTGGCCGTGTGAGTCGGGATTTTCTCCTTTTAAGCAGAATTTCAGCCACAATTCGAGGGGATTCGAGTTTTTGAGTAAGAGAGCGATTCCTAGAGAGAGAAAGTGACGAGCAAGAGTTCCCAAGTGCCCTAGATTGATCTTCAACACCATTGGAGGCCAGTTTGAGCTTGGAGAAGTGCCAATCAACGTCCAGAAGCAGGAATCCATCCTTCGCAGTATGAATTCCGTGTCTGATTCTGCTTTTGCTTTCTTCTCCATGGAGTAGTTCTCCCATTCATCTGGGTATGGAGAACCCTAGATTTGTATGTTAGGCTTTGATTGTATGAACCCAAGTACTGATTCTATGATTGATTATATTCGATTGAGGTTTTAATGATTGAATGACTTGAATCCAGATCAAATTCCTGTTGTTTCTGCTTTGACCTAGAATGAGAATATCTGCCTAGGTTAATAGAGTATCCTTGATTGAAGGTAGGGAGTTGGTGACTTTAGTCGAGGAGCCAACTCACTATTCTATACCGGATTTACTCCGGTAGTGGAGGTTTTGTTCTTAGGGCCTCAATCTGTCGACTCCGGTGGAGGTTAGTCGCCCGCTAGAGAGTCAGATTGAGAGGGTCTGAAGACCTTTAGTCGAGACTTCAGGCTGTTTAAGAACCTTCCGCAGTATAACTGTCATAGAAACTGAACTTGGTAATTACAATCCGGCTTAACTGCAGTCTAGGGGGAACCATATCCGGGTGACCTCTTTAACCTGAATACAACCAGTTTACTTGCTTTGTTTGTTTGGTAGTTTAGACTTGCACTCCAGTTTCATTGCTAGATAACAAGAATTCACTGAGTAGTCATCACATCTAGGACCCGGGTTGATAATTAAACCCAAACCCGCTATACTACGCTTTAGGAAGTGGTTTCACTTGGCCAATTCCTGGAGTGACAGTAGAGTCGAGTCAATGAGCTATACAGAACCTTAGTGGGCAAACTGATCTACCTAACTACAATAAGGCCAGACATTAGCTATGCAACTCAGCAGCTAAGTCAATTCATGTCATCACCAACAGAGACTCATTACAAGGCTGTGCTTCGTGTTATTCGTTTACTCAAATCATCTCCAGCAACTGGTCTATTCTTCCCATCCAAAGGGAATTTTCAATTGAAAGCTTTTACATATTCTGACTGGGCTGCTTGCGTGGATACAAGTCGCTCCACTACTGGATTCTATATTTACCTGGGAGATTCACTCATTTCCTGGAAAATGAAGAAACAACATACTGTGTCAAGATCCTCTTGTGAGGCAGAGTACCGCGCTTTGGCCTATACATCATGTGAAATACAGTGGCTATCTTACCTGCTCCAGGATTTCAAAGCAACTTCCTCTCATCCAGCAACTCTCTATTGTGACAATCAGAGTGCGATTTACATCGCAAAGAATCCAACCTTCAATGAACGAACAAAGCACATTGAACTTGATTGCCATTTTGTTCGAGAGAAACTACAATCTGGTCTTCTCAAATTGCTGCACATCTCCTCCAGTCATCAGCTCGCCGATCTATTCACCAAGTCATTGTCTCCAGCTCCCTTCCTCTCGTTGTTGTCTGACTCGCTACGACACAACACCTAACAATGGCCAAGTGTAACCAATGGAAGGGATGCAGTATAGTGGCTCAAGTGATAAATATCGAATCCACGGGTCTCTAGAGTTACTATTACTCAGCTTCAGTTTATTATTTAGCAAACCAGATTAAGATGAAAGAACTAAAACTACTCTAGCAAACTACAGTTAAAGTTAATCTAATTACAGGTTGGGAACTCACTTAGGTATGATTCCCCCTAGCCACTAGCCAGACTAACGATTGATGATTTCTAACTTGTTTCACTTTCATTCACAATGCGGAGAATCCTTGACTAGACCTTGAGTCTCGACTAAAGGAACAAGCCCTCTTGAGTCAATTGCCTAGAGGGACGTATCTTTCTCTAGAACAACCGATCAAGGCGTTCTGAACTAGATTCCCTCTATCGAATGAGGTTCTCAATCGATACAAAGCAGTGAATCAACCCTCGACTAAAGCAATCGATCCACTACTATCAATCTATGGTGCTCTATTGACCTAATCAGGTATTCCCTCTCATAGGATCAAAGCAGAATCAATAATCTCGACTAAAGCACAATTGAATCATGAAAACATGCATAGATTGAATATGAACTCAAGATTATCAAGTCAGAGTACTCATACAATCATCCAATCAAACAAACATAGCTAGGGTTCCTCAAAACCTAAGTGAAGGGAAGTTACTCCATAGAGAAGAGAGAGACTGCAGTAAGAATCTTCAGATGATCAGTCTTCAAGTCCGGGCTTGTTCCTCGAGCTTCCAAGGTGAAGAAATCCTCCAATTCCACTCTTAGAATGCCCTCAGATCGCCCTTTCTCTCTTTAGGAATGCTCTATCTCTCTCAAAACTCGAATCCCCTTCTGTTTTGGCTGAGATCTGCTTAAAAGGGCATCACTAGGCAAAGCACGGTCGAGGGCACAGCCGTGCTTTGCTCCAGCCCACCCGTGCTTTGGCTAGGGTTAATTACACGGCCAGCCTGTTGGGAGAAACACGGCCGTGCTTTTGGGTGGACACGGCCGTGCTTTGGTGTACACAGTCGTGCTTTTTCTCAGCCCTGCCCGTGTTTTCAGCTCGAGTTTGCCAAACTCAAATCAGCTCTCGGCAGTAAAAGCACGGCCTAGGAACACGGCCGTGTTCTGTTTTAGGTGTGCCCGTGTTTTGGCTCCAGCTCCACCGAATGACTTTCGAATGCCCCGAAACTCGTGCTTAGCCTTTCCTTTGACGCCTGGGACCTGAAATATGACAAAGTAGCACAACCCGGCGTAAAATAGGCCAAAAATACACGACTATGCCCCTCAAACGGATAAGAACTAGGGGTGCAAATACGTGCAATTACATCGTTATCATTGTCCAAGCTTGGTGTGCGAAACCTCTGCCCACCAGCATGCCGGGGGGGGGGGGGGGGTATCAGATTGAAAATCACTTTCCCTCTTCTTCAACGGTCATATGCACAGACGACAATGTTTTCATTCATCACCACTCACTTACCTGATGCGCTACCGTTTCATGCTTAGTCGTAGTGTGTAACGATGCCGTTTTCTGTTTCTATGTTGACTGTACTTTCTTTTTCGCCAAGACTGTAATGTTTCCTTTCCAAGCTATCAAACAAGCTTGAGAATGGAACTTATCTTCTTCCATTTTGATCTGCCTATAAAGGGCAGAAGATGCAATGAGAACATACAGGTTTTAGGGTTTTTGCATTCCCAAACATCTCTTTGTTAGCATCAGCTTTATTAACCGGCTTAACTGCCCAAAACATTCTCCCATTTCAGAATTTAGAGCTGGGAAATGGTAACTCCTCATGTTTCTGTCTGTGTTCATTGCCTCCGTTTAGTCTTCTGTAAAGTTGTTTGAAAGTTTGTTTGGGCCGCTTAGAGTTGAAATTATATGTGGGCCAGATTTGTATTGGGCTTTGACGGAATCAGACACGTCAGTTAAAATACCAAATGCGTGGCACTAACACGATGGTTTTGCTGGCAAGAGAAAGTTGAGTTGGCCAGTCCAGCTGGCTGCTAGTAAATAATAACGGCTAGTCCAGCTAGCAAGGCACAACCGACTCAAGCCATCCCAAATTTCTATTCTATAAATAGGAAGAGAGAGGAAGCATGGCCTGAGACGGTGAGACCGCGTGTTCTTTCTTTTCAACGACAACGGCTCTTAGGGTCCTGGCAACCGCCACGAGGGCTGGTCTGGTGGTGATAGAGAAGGGGCTTCTCTCTCGTTAAGCATGCTTCGCTGTAACGTTCGCCCTTCCGTCGGAATTTGGTACTTCCCTCGTCTTTTGTGCCTCGTTGAGAAATCTGGAATCGCAAAATCGCTTTCATCTTATTCTGTTTGAATTTTCTGAGGTCGGAAACGATTTTCCATTCAACGGAAGGCCGTGGAAGTTCACTAGGGTTCGCCATGATTAAGGCAGCGGGTTAGGGTTTTTGGTATCCTATGTTCGACGATCGATCGTATGCTGGGTTTAATTAACGTCTTCTGGAAATATGACCCGATCTTGTCGGATGCAATCTATCTGGTAATTGCTCCCCCCTTCTTTTCCACCTATGAGGAAATTGGCTGACTTGTGCTTGTGCATGCCTTTTAACTCAATTGCTGCTTTGGTTGATAGTGATCATTATTGTGGCGTCACTGCTTATTCTATCATGCTCACCTTGGGTATTAGATGGTTATTGTTGCCTTCATGGGATTCAAATAAACGTAGTGTGGGGTTTCACTAGACTGGGTTTATCAAACCACTTTGTGCTAGAAATCTCTTGATTTCCTATACATATGCTGCCATGAATTGGGTGAAATTTGTTCCGAGGATGATTCCAGAGACTTGCATAACATAACGGCCATTACATGTTGTCTGTGCTAGTGTTTTCTAGTAACTTTAATTAAGCCCCTCTTTTTTCGGCTAGAGTTCCAATATTTTGGTTCTTGACCTGAGATGTTTGATGATTTGGCTCTACTCTACTGCTGCCCCCTTTCTTTACAATGATTAATCAAGGTGCTATTGTTTTCTGCAAGTGGAAGCCCCTAATGAGTGCCCCGTAAAGTTATCAAGATCCTTATCTCTAACTTGTGGCCGCTTCTGCCTCACTATTGAAATGTTCATCTACTCATTGTTGCCCTTCTGCTCCTCTTGAAATATATTGTTAACTGAAAGTCCAGTATGGAGTCCTAGAAGGGAACTTAAGAATGAGTAGATGTAGCCTGAAAATACATTAATTGTTCATGTCGGTTCAGTGCTTATATGAAAGTTGGGTACCGGTTTGCCTTGCAATAAAATGATTAGTTACTTAATCTAGTTGCCCTTCTGCTCCTCTTAATATATATTGTTGGCTGAAAGTCCAGTGTGGAGTCCTAGAAGGGAACTTGAAAATGAGTATTATATCATAGATATACCCTGAAAATGCTTTGTCCGTGTTGGTTCAGTGCATATATGGAAGTTGAGTCCGGGTTTGCCTTACACTAAGATGATTAGTATACTCAGTCTAGTTGCCCTTCTGCTCCTCTCTGAAAGCCCATTATGGAGTCCTATAAGGTAACTTGAGTACGAGTACTATATCATAGACAGTCCCGTAAAGATTAGAAGCTTGTGTATTCTGTTTACAGAGTTACTGATTTTGTTGCTTCTAATGAAGGTGGTGATCCAATTCTGGTTAATGAATTGTGGGAAATGATGTGTTAAGTTTCTTGATGCTCTATCAATGCTATTACTGTTTTGGTACATCTTGTCATCGGCCTAGGAAATGGTGGGTAGAAAGGTTACAAATGTTTCAGTGGCTTGTGTTTCATTTGTAAGATATTCTGGCTTGGAAGAAATAAGGATAGACTTTCAATGTTGTCCCATTGAAGTCATTCGTCTTGATAACTGCATAGCCAAGTCTAGACGTTCAAAAGGTGTTTATGTGATTCTGGAAGCAGAACTGCACCTTCTTTACATGCTAGATGATGGTCATTCCTTTTGGACATCCTTTTACGCTGCTTTCTTCAAAGAAAACAATATTGTGGGTTCCCTAGAAAGCAACTAAGATTGCTATTTTAGTCCATTCACTCATAGTATTAGTATATATATTTTGGTCATTTGGTATACGTGATGTTGATACGAAAACTGTCATTGGCTACATGATCCATCACTTTATAATTATTTATGCATTTGGTTGCCCTTAGACTCTACTATAACTAGAACAAGTGATTTAATATCTAAAATGGAGTCCAAGGAAATTACACTAATTTTCTAGGAAGCAATGTAGCAAGAGATAGTTAATACTGGGGCAAAAGGTATGGTGCTTCTCCTTTCCCAGCAAGCTAATGGTCTATTAGTCCATATGAATACTTGATAAGCTCATTACCGTTATTTTACATGGACTGGCTGGTTTCTTAAGCTATTAATTGTATGAGTAGCATCGTAAATATCAGGTTGGTTACTCTTAATTAATGATAATGGAAATCATGATTGGTAGCCATGTCAGAGAGGTGTGATAGTCCAGTCCTATTATCACTTAACACTGAGCTCATCAGTTAGGCGTTTGAGCTCCCGCTCTGCTCTATCCTGTTATGCGGAAGCCCTAAATTGTCTTGGGAGGACTTTGGAACGACTTATAATGATCAAGTGAATACTGATTCTATTTGAGAATGAGAATTAATGTTCTAAAAGTGGTGTCGTACTCGTATAGTAGTTCCAGTTGCTCCCCTGATCCATTTCATATTCTTAAATCGTGATTGTCTTGTTCAATGGTCTTAATGGAGTCCTAGGGGGGAACTTTGGAACGACTTATAATGATCAAGTGAATACTGATTCTATTTGAGAATGAGAATTAATGTTCTAAAAGTGGTGTCCTACTCGTATAGTAGTTCCAGTTGCTCCCCTGATCCATTTCATATTCTTAAATCGTAATTGTCTTGTTCAATGGTCTTAATGGAGTCCTAGGGGGGAACTTCAGAATGATTTTATGCTTGAGAAAAATACTTCATAACACTCTTGTTTGGGACAAAATAAAGTTACTCATGATAATTGTATTCCATTGTGCCTCACAATTCGGCTGGCTGTTTGCTTATTCAAGTTGCTCTTCTGCATCATTTAAGGGAATGTCCCAACTGGAGACTAGAGGGGAACCTTAGATTGACTTGGTTGAGAAAATACATCGTGACCTATGTTGTTTGAGAGAGTTGATGATTTGAAGTAGCATCATAGTCCCTCGTTCCAATTGACCTTTTGCTCCATTTCGAATTCACTAATTAGGGTAGGATTTTTGTATAACCGAGAAAACTTTACAGGGTCCAAAAAATGAAATTTGTTATGATGATCAAACAACGCGAGAGTTGGATTAAGCATAATTGTCAGTATTGTTGTGCCTATGTCCCAACTTCCAGTTATCCCCAGTTCGTATTATTATCAATAACTTATTAGAAGGGAATTATGGTATTCCTGGATTCCCCTCCAAGCTCCTCTATCAAAACATATCAGTTTGCCACTACTCCTGGGTTGCTTTCAATGCTTGTTTGGAAATCCAGCTTATACTTGGTGCGCCTCTTGACGGTTGACTTATGGTGCCTTATTGCCTGTTGTTATGTGCGTCCATATTTTAATCTACTTTTGCAAAGCTATTAATATGATAAATGTTACCTCACATAGGTGATTGGTTCGGTGAATATTTTATCGAGGTTTGTGGATGAGATAATTTAATGAGTGTCTTTGCCTCCCAAAATGTTCTGGTGCTCATTATGTGGTAAAATATTCTGGTGTAGTTGATGCTGAATATTCAGCTCTCCGGTGCTTTCCCTTGGTTTGCTATTTTTTGTTGTCGCCTACGACTCAGAGTTCTGTTGAATATGATCATTCTGATTAGGACCATAAAGTAAGTCCTATCTAGTTGGTTACGACATGGCGAAGAGACCTGCAATACAACGACAGTGGTGGGGAACACAATGATCATTTTCTACAAATGGGTTTCCTCAATTGTAAAAGAAATATCAGAATTTAGGTCCCAGAAATGGTGGGTGCAGCTCTCCCCCAACTGCATGGTGTCCAACTGACTGATAAACTTGAACATTCTAATCAGTAAGGAATACCGTTGTTGTTTGCTTGTGTTACTCTTGCTACTTGGTTTGGTAGATGAATTGGTCAAAGCTGACGTTTGCTACCATTTCGGGGAACTGAAAGGAACTGAGGCAGGGACAATTCTGATCGTTCAATTAACGTTGCAGGAAACCCTGCCAACGAGATCACGGCGATCATAAACAAGAACCGAACAGCAGCAGGACTGGGAGAGTTGAACGACAGCATGGCCCTGCAATACGTGGAGCTATGCAAGGTTAACTGCACCGCCACCAACGGGTCAGTGAACTGCAACCCACCATAGGTTGACTTCATTAAGGTTTTCGGCCCGAATTGTGGTGTAGAGTTGCCCACTTTCGGCACCATAACGGGCCATTGCAATAAGATGATTTGTTACTCATTCTAGTTGCCCTTCTGCTCCTTTGAAATCTATTGTTAACTGGATGTCCATTGTGGAGTCCTAGAAGGGAACTTGAAAATGAGTACTATATCATAGATAAACCCTAAATACTTGTTGCGTGCCGGGTCAGTGCTTGAGTCAGACTTTGTCTTTAAATATGATGATTAGTTACTCAATCTAGTTGCCCTTCTGCTCCTCTCTAAATCTGTTGTTAACTGAGCCCATTATGTGTTGAAGGAAGCTCGGTCAATGGCCCTGATCAAGCAAATATAAACGGCACAATTAGCTGAATTGGAAAGAAATCAAGTATGATGCAGTACCATTTTTTATCATGAGTCAAAGATGGAAGGTTTCTAAAAGAGACGTTGAGGAAAGCATGAATATAAAGAGGAGCAGATCATAAACTAGGAGTTTAACCTTTTCAATCGAACAAGAAGAGAAGTGCTGAGAATTAGCTAGAGTTCTTGTTGTGAAAAGAGAGCATATCAGAGTGATTGCTTAGTGGATTAGGTTGCTGTCCTTTATTCTTGAGTGACAGTTCAATCTAGTGAGAGTGATCTACCAGCTGAAGGCTGAGAGTTCTCTGTTCAGACTTGTAACAGGAAACTTGAGCAACTAAGTCATTAGTTATACGCTGAAGATCTCAAGAAGAGATTCTTCAACCGTGGATTAGTCAGTGCAGGGATCCTTATTCTCCCTGTACTGGATACCACGTAAAAATCCTCTGTGTCACATCTGTACTTTCGTTTCTTGTTCTATCTGATAAATTGTCTGTGTGTTCTTGAGCTTAGTTTGATACAGGGAAGGGAGCCTGAACTGAAGAACAGGAGAAGAAGAAGCTTACTTCATAGCTTCTGTCCTTGGGTCGATTAAGGGCTTTAAGTTCAGGGCCTTCAAAATCATTTCACTGGGCCGGGACTTAAAAACAGAACAGACAGGCCCACTATTAATTCCTTTCACTAGTCATAAACTGAATACTGTTTTACCTTCGTTATTTCTTATCGGTTTCACTCTACATTCACAAGCTCTGTGTTAGGGTTTTGATCTTTCAGAAAGCAAATCAAAGCAAATCGCCGTTGGTCTCGCGCTCGACCTCGTTCAACACGTGGTATCAGAGCCCGGCTCCGGAGTCAATAGGTTTAACAACCCACGGAGAAGATGAGTTCGAGCTCAGCGAGCGGAACTGGAATCTACATGGCTGATGGCTTTTCGCAAACCCGACCACCATGTTTTGAGGGCGTACACTATGGCTACTGGAGGAACAGAATGGAGCTGTTCATCGAATCCACTGATCCAGGAAGCTCGAGGAAAGTGGACCGATGAAGACAAGAAGAATTTTCAGTTAAATTAGAAGGCAACAAACTTAATGTACTGTGCATTAGGGCCTGAAGAATACCACAGAGTCACCGGCTGCAAGACAGCGAAAGAAATTTGGGATAAGCTTCAGATCGCCCACGAAGGTACTTCCCACGTTAAGATTTCCAGAATCAACAGCTTGAAACAAGATTTTGAGTCCTTCATCATGAAGCCCGAGGAGTCAATCAAAGAGATGAACGACAGATTCACAACAATTGTCAATAGTCCGAGGAATCTGGAAGTTGAATATCCAAGCGCTGATCTGGTTCGTAAAGTTCTCTGGGCCTTGCCTAAACGATGGACTCCCAAAGTCACTGCCATCGAGGAATCCAAGGATCTCACTCGACTCAGCTTAGATGAACCTGATAGGATCTTTGATTACTCATGAAGAGAAACTAAGAAGAGAGGATGTTGATGAGCCTAAGAAGGTTAGACGAAACATTGCATTTAAAGCCTCATCATATGAAGAAGAACTGGAAGGACTAGAAGACATGGAAGATGAGGAATTAGCACTGCTGAGCAAATGATGCTCTAAAACACAACACCTAACAAAGGCCAAGTGTAACCAATGAAAGGGACTGCAGTATAGTGGCTCAAGTGATAAATATCGAATCCACGGGTCTCTAGAGTTACTATTACTCAGCTTCAGTTTATTATTTAGCAAATCAGATTAAGATGAAAGAACTAAAACTACTCTAGCAAACTACAGTTAAAGTTAATCTAATTACAGGTTGGGAACTCACTTAGGTATGATTCCCCCTAGCCACTAGCCAGATTAACGATTGATGATCTCTAACCTGTTTCACTTTCATTCACAATGCGGAGAATCCTTGACTAGACCTTGAGTCTCGACTAAAGGAACAAGGCCCTCTTGAGTCAATTGCCTAGAGGGACGTATCCTTCTCTAGAACAACTGATCAAGGCGTTCTGAACTAGACTCCCTCTATCGAAAGAGGTTCTCAATCGATACAAAGCAGTGAATCAACCCTCGACTAAAGCAATCGATCCACTACTATCAATCTATGGTGCTCTATTGACCTAATCAGGTATTCCCTCTCATAGGATCAAAGCAGAATCAATAATCTCGACTAAAGCATAATTGAATCATGAAAACATGCATAGATTGAATATGAACTCAAGATTATCAAGTCAGAGTACTCATACAATCATCCAATCAAACTAACATAGCTAGGGTTCCTCAAAACCTAAGTGAAGGGAAGTTACTCCATAGAGAAGAGAGAGACTGCAGTAAGAATCTTCAGATGATCAGTCTTCAAGTCCGGGCTTGTTCCTCAAGCTTCCAAGGCGAAGAAATCCTCTTTCTCTACTCCAAGAATGCCCTCAAATCGCCCTCTCTCTCTTTGGTTCGTCCCTTGGGTGTTTGGGATCCAAAAACCCAGCTCTCCTCCTCTCCTTTGGCTGAAAATTGGGTTTTAAGCAGAAAATCCCGACTCACACGGGCAGGGTGGCACGGCCGTGTGGCTTACCCAGTTGCCCGTGTGAGTCAAAACGCTGCGTTCCAATTAGTCCGAATTCCAGGCTCTTTGCACGGCCAGAGTGGCACGGCCGTGTGAACTTCCTTTTTGCCCGTGTTTGCTCACGCAGAATTCCACACGGCCAGACTGGCCTCTTGCACGGCCGTGTGGATGTCCTGCTCTGCCCGTGTTTGCTCTCGGCAAAACTCGCACGGCCAAGGCACTCCTTCACACGGCCGTGTGTGTTGTCAGGGCAGGCTGTGTTTGCTCTCGCACAATTTCACACGACCAGAAATATGAGTTGCACGGCCGTGTGATTTGTGGGTGTGCCCGTGTGGCCTCCTTTGTGACTTGCCTCGCGCCCGATCTTCGCCCAATCGACCCCGAGCTCGCTCCTAAACCTTCATTCACTTGCCAGGACCTGAAATATCACAAACAAGCACAACCTAGCGTGAAATCGGTCTAAAACACGAGAAACCACATCTCAAACGGTGTAAGAACAGGGGTGAAAACATGTGTAACTAACGGTCTATCAAACTCCCCCACACTTAACCGTTTGCTTGTCCCCAAGCAAACCTAACTGAAACCAATGCAACTCTCCAGACCTCTATAGCAACAAACAACCCAGATCGTAGGTAGAGGACTTCCTAGATCATTTAGCAACTTACGAGGTCAACCGACGCACAAGTCATCTCATAGCTTCTTCGGCGAGTCGGCATCATGGCAAACAGTGAACAGAGGACAAATGAATCGTGGATGGAGAGATTCTCAAAAACAAAGGATCATGGACTCACATTTTTCGAGGTGCTCTATTTTGTTCTTGAAGATGGTTGGAACCCCCTTTTTTTCTGTTTTGCTTGTTTTCTGTTATTTTTCTTTTCTTTTCTTTTCAAGGGTCCCAACCTGCTCTTACCGGCCATGCCAGGAGCGGATGTCTCGAGCCTCGTGCGGGGGAAAGACATGTAAGGGGGCTGGAGGTAGTAGGTGGAAATTGGGAACGGTTTCCCGTCTCCCCTTACACACTTTGGCCCTATTCGCACGGGAGACGTTTATTTTGAAGCACATTTTCGAGCACCTGTTATTTTCAAAACATGATACAAGAGTCCATGACATGTAGAAAATCCACAACACCACACAATTCAAGGGTCCTAAGATCACTAATTCACTCAATCAACCAACTCAATATGAAGAAGAAATGAGACTCCTTAAATGCATCAACATCCTCCATAGTGCTACACTACCTCCCTAGGTTGCATATTACTTTAAAGACTGTCAATTCAAAGCATACTGAGCCGGCAATTGCAAGGAGACACGTACTTGGAGCCCTCAAATTTAAAAATTTGGACAGTGGACTAGGCTCCAAGCACACAAACAGCCAAACATTCACCCGCATAAATAATCGAACATCCCCCCACACTTAAGCACGGCATTGTCCTCAATGGAGGAAAGATAAGGAGGGTAGAACGAAGTTACCAGATCAAGGGTGAATGATGATGAACGGGTCAGGCGGTGCATTCCAGAAAGAGAGAGTAATCAGAACACAAACACCACACAAAATCTCACAAAGGTTGAGTTATTGACTCTAAAATCAAATAACAAAACTGACTCAACCGAGGAGAAATAGAGAAAGAAATGCAAACCGACTGGTTGGGTTGCCTCCCAACAAGCGCTTCTTTCACGTCGTGAGCCGGACGATGGCTCCTAAGTTTCGGTCCATGCTAGAACCTCCTTGAAGTTGAGGTTCTCGTCAATGAGGTGGAGTCTCAAGTCATGAGCATGTGGTGTGGCAGGTGATGAAGGCTCATGTACTTGATGCAGATGAAGTCTCCACCCTCGAGACCTCTTCTTCTCTTCTCTCGTCTCATTGCCCCAAACCAGATAAGACAGCATCGATTGGCCACCATCGCGTCCACCAAGAGGGACCGATGTCGATGTGGCCTTGGTCTGGCAAAGAGACACTGCAAATGGGTCCTTGCTAAGCAGTTCCTCGAAGTTTGGTGGGGATATCACATGTAACTCATGGCCGGTGCAGGCCTCTTCCACCTCAACTTCATCCTCAGCCTGGACGCCAATTGCTTCTTTAACCTCCCTTCCTTCTTCATGTGGTATCACCCCTGGGAAATGATCGAGAACTTCTCCAGCTTCACTTTCGCCATCCTCCACAACTTCTTTCTGCACCCTTTCTTGCTCTTCTTCTTCTAGCACGGATTGGAGAGCAAGTTGCCAAGCAATTTCTTTCATGAGATCTTCTTGCATCTCCGCACTCATGCTCGCCTCTTCAAAGCTCAGTTTGGGGTGTGGGAAGGTGTGGTCGGCTACGACATGACACTCTTGATCATGATCATCACGGGAGCTCTCCGTGACAGTTTCAGTGTACTCCACAATGTCCTTGTAGCCTTCTTCTTCCTCCTCATCTTCTTGTATGGTAGCAGAAGGGTGATCTGGAGCAGGTTGCGCCCAAGATCGCTCAAGATCATCGACGCTCTTCTTAAGGCTCAGGAGGATCCCCTCTGTCTCACGATAGGCCTGGACACAATGGTCCATACTGGAGCATGATCTCTCCATGAGAAGCTTCAAATCATAGTGTGGATCTGGCTGTGGAGTGTAGCATGGCTCTGCAGAATGGCCCGTGAAGGCCGCCATGGGTAACTCCAGCTCCAATGGCCCTTCTGGTTGTGGGAGAAATTCTTCTTGGTAATGAGGTTGTTCTTGATATGCCCAGGGGTCCGGTTGTTCTCCGTAGTAAGGGGGTTGGTACTGGAACCCGAATCCATAGTCTTCTCCGCCTTGATTGCTCCACGGAGTCTCGGGGTAATACCACCCAGATGGTGGTGGATACCCCCAATGATTGGAGAAGCCATTAGGATCCATGATTCAGATCTGCACCAACAAAAACAAAAACACCCAAGTGAAAAGCACGGGTGGAAAAGAAAAGAAACGAAAAACGCTAAAGTAACAAACTTCTGTCTTTCCTAATACTCTAGAAAGTCCCCGGCAACGGCGCCAAAAACTTGATGCTCTAAAACACAACACCTAACAAAGGCCAAGTGTAACCAATGAAAGGGACTGCAGTATAGTGGCTCAAGTGATAAATATCGAATCCACGGGTCTCTAGATTTACTATTACTCAGCTTCAGTTTATTATTTAGCAAATCAGATTAAGATGAAAGAACTAAAACTACTCTAGCAAACTACAGTTAAAGTTAATCTAATTACAGGTTGGGAACTCACTTAGGTATGATTCCCCCTAGCCACTAGCCAGATTAACGATTGATGATCTCTAACCTGTTTCACTTTCATTCACAATGCGGAGAATCCTTGACTAGACCTTGAGTCTCGACTAAAGGAACAAGGCCCTCTTGAGTCAATTGCCTAGAGGGACGTATCCTTCTCTAGAACAACTGATCAAGGCGTTCTGAACTAGACTCCCTCTATCGAAAGAGGTTCTCAATCGATACAAAGCAGTGAATCAACCCTCGACTAAAGCAATCAATCCACTACTATCAATCTATGGTGCTCTATTGACCTAATCAGGTATTCCCTCTCATAGGATCAAAGCAGAATCAATAATCTCGACTAAAGCAGAATTGAATCATGAAAACATGCATAGATTGAATATGAACTCAAGATTATCAAGTCAGAGTACTCATACAATCATCCAATCAAACTAACATAGCTAGGGTTCCTCAAAACCTAAGTGAAGGGAAGTTACTCCATAGAGAAGAGAGAGACTGCAGTAAGAATCTTCAGATGATCAGTCTTCAAGTCCGGGCTTGTTCCTCAAGCTTCCAAGGCGAAGAAATCCTCCTTCTCTACTCCAAGAATGCCCTCAAATCGCCCTCTCTCTCTTTGGTTCGTCCCTTGGGTGTTTGGGATCCAAAAACCTAGCTCTCCTCCTCTCCTTTGGCTGAAAATCGGGTTTTAAGCAGAAAATCTCGACTCACACGGGCAGGGTGGCACGGCCGTGTGGCTTACCCAGTTGCCCGTGTGAGTCAAAACGCTGCGTTCCAATTAGTTCGAATTCCAGGCTCTTTGCACGGTCAGAGTGGCACGGCCGTGTGAACTTCCTTTTTGCCCGTGTTTGCTCACGCAGAATTCCACACGGCCAGACTGGCCTCTTGCACGGCCGTGTGGATGTCCTGCTCTGCCCGTGTTTGCTCTCGGCAAAACTCGCACGGCCAAGCCACTCCTTCACACGGCCGTGTGTGTTGTCAGGGCAGGCCGTGTTTGCTCTCGCACAATCTCACACGACCAGAAATATGAGTTGCACGGCCGTGTGATTTGTGGGTGTGCCCGTGTGGCCTCCTTTGTGACTTGCCTCGCGCCCGATCTTCGCCCAATCGACCCCGAGCTCGCTCCTAAACCTTCATTCACTTGCCAGGACCTGAAATATCACAAACAAGCACAACCTAGCGTGAAATCAGTCTAAAACACGAGAAACCACATCTCAAACGGTGTAAGAACAAGGGTGAAAACATGTGTAACTAACGGTCTATCAGCAAACATGTTGCTAGGTTGCTAAAGATGCGACGTGACAGAAGAAAAGGGAATTCACCAAGTAAGGCAGAAGAGAATAGAGATCAGAAGGAAAGGAATCGGTTTGGATACAAGAACAGAAGAGAAAGCAGCTTAGAGAAGTCTCAGTTACAAACCAACTGCTATAAATGTGGAAAAATGGGGCATATGAAGGCAGACTGTCCACTTACAAAGAAAGCCTACACTGCAATGGAGTTGCAGTGAAGAAGATGAAGAAGAAGTGTGCAGACAGGAAGCATATATGGCCATTGATGCAGAATCAGAGGATGAAGACATCAACCAGGTGAAATCCTATTATTCTGATTCTTTTAGTGAAGATGATCAAATGTTAGTAACCATACGAGATATTCAAAAGAAATTTGCTAATGTTAAGCAAAAACACATCAGAACTAAAGGAGAATTTGAAGTGTTATCATCAAACTATGAATCACTCAAAATAGAGAATCACAAACTGGAAAACACCTTGAAAAATGCCTTGAATGAGAATGAAACTCTTAAAACGAAGCTTGCTGCCTCAGAGGATAGAGTAAGGTATCTAGAAAGAAACATAGTCTCAAGTCTATCTAACAGGTTCAGAAGTCGAAAGACAATTGAGTGCTACTACTGTCACAAACTTGGTCATCATATAAGCAAGTGCAGAAAACTCATTGCTAAAGATAATAAAATCAAGAATGCTTCAAGTTTCACTCATAACCATACTGAGTGCTCACATAAAAAATTTCAGGTCTTAAAAGAACCTAAACTTGTGTGGGTACCTAAAAACAAGTAATTCATCTCTTTTGCAGACCTGTCTCCAAGTGAGCATGGAAGGCAGTGTTTGGATTCTTGACAGTGGTTGCTCACATCATATGACTGGGGATAAAAAGCTTTTTACTGATCTCACACTAAGAAAGAGAGGTAAAGTTTACTTTGGTGATAATTACAGTACAGAAATTCTAGGTAAAGGAACCATAGGTAACTCACCCTCTATAAGCAATGTTATGTTTGTAAAAGACTTAAAACACAACCTTCTTTCCATAAGTCAACTATGTAAAAATGAAAACCGAGTCTTATTTGAACCAAATGGATGTGTCGTCGAAAATATCTTAACCAAGAAGACTCTGTTCACTGGAAAACGAAGAGGGAAACTGTTTATTATTGATCTAAATGACAAAAAGACTTTTAATGAATCATGTCTCATAACAGTTGACAAAGATGACCAACTAGAATGGCATCGGAGGTTAGGGCACATAAGTGTGGGAATTCTATCTAAACTAGTAAACTTAGAACTAGTTAGAGGTGTTCCTAAGATCCATAGCAAGAAAGAGTTTTTCTGCGATGCGTGCACAAAGGGAAAACATACTAGAACCTCCTTCAAAACAAAACAAGTTCTGTCCACAAATAGACCTCTTGAATTACTTCATCTAGATCTTTTTGGTCCCAGTAATGTCATGAGTCTAGGAGGAAAATATTATGCCTTTGTCATTGTAGATGACTTTTCAAGGTTCACCTGGGTTCTTTTCCTTTCAAGCAAAGATGAAGCCTTTTTGAAATTCAAAAATTTTGTCAAACAGGTTGAAAATGAGAAACAATCTAAAATAATAAACATCAGGAGTGATCATGGAGGTGAATTCGAATCAGACAAATTTGAGGAATTCTGTAACATAAATGGAATTTTACACAACTTTTCAGCTCCCAGAACACCACAACAAAATGGTGTAGTGGAGAGAAAGAATAGAACCTTAATAGAGATAGGGAGAACTATGCTGAATGACTATGGTGTGTCTAAGAAATTCTGGGCAGAGGCTATTAACACAGCTTGCTACATAATTAATAGGGCTTTAATTCGATCCAAATTAAACAAAACCCCTTATGAACTTTGGAAAAATCGAAAAACCTAATCTAAGTTATTTCCACCCTTTTGGTTGTAAATGCTTCATATTAAATACAAAGGATACTTTGGGAAAATTTGACTCTAAGTCAGATGAATCGATCTTTCTTGGTTATTCTATCAACAGTAGAGCATACAGGGTGCTTAATAAAAGGACTCTCAAGGTAGAAGAGTCCATTAATGTTATATTTGATGAGTCTGTGAGTAAGATTGCAGAAGTAATAGATGATGATGATGACTTTGGTATTGGGGGGAACCAATGCAAGGACTCAAAGATAGTGAGTTCAGAGACATCCTCAACTGTAGAAAACACAGACATGGACAGACCTGAAGCACCTCCTCACATACAGAAACGTCACCCCAGCTCACAGATCATTGGTGATCTGAATCAAGGTATGGTGACTCGATCCAAGGTCTATCCTGAGCATACTGCATTCATCTCTCAAATCTTGCCTAAGAATATAGATGAGGCTCTAGAAGATGAATTTTGGACAGCAGCTATGCATGATGAAATGCATCAGTTTGAAAGAACCAGAGTTTGGGATCTAGTTCCCAAACCAGAAAACAGAACCATAATAGGTACAAAATGGGTTTACAAAAATAAAACTGATGAAAGTGATATTATCAAGAAAAATAAAGCTAGACTTGTAGCTCAAGGGTATAATCAAGAAGAAGGAATCGACTTTGATGAAACCTTTGCACCTGTTGCCAGATTAGAAGCCATAAGGCTTCTCTGTGCTTATGCAGCAGCAAAAGGGTTTAAACTGTTTCAAATGGATGTCAAAAGTGCCTTTTTAAATGGTGACCTAAAAGAAGAAGTTTATGTGTCTCAACCTCCTGGGTTCGAAGACTCAGAACATCCAGAATATGTTTATAAGCTTAACAAAGCCCTCTATGGTCTTAAGCAGGCTCCTCGAGCCTGGTATGACAAACTCAGTCAGTTTTTGATAGATGATGGGTTTCATAGGGGAAAAGTTGATAAAACATTGTTCATCAAAAGGTCAAATAGTCATACTTTGTTAGTACAAGTCTATGTAGACGATATTATTTTCGGATCCTCTTGTCCTGAACTGTGTCTTAACTTTGAAAACAGCATGAAAAGGGCCTTTGAAATGAGTCTTATAGGTGAACTGAACTTTTTTCTTGGACTACAAGTTAAACAAACTAATTCGGGTACTTTTATAAGTCAAAGTAAATACCTTCATAACATGCTAAAACGCTTTAACCTTGGAAATCTCAAGTCTGCTCCTACTCCCATGGGTTCTTCAACTAAATTAACAAAAGATGAAACTGGGAATAATGTTGATCACAAACTCTTTAGGGGAATGATTGGTTCTTTACTGTACTTAACAGCAGTCGCCCAGATATAATGTATAGTGTTTGTGTATGTGCTCGGTTTCAAAGCCAACCTAAAGAAAGCCAACCTAAAGACTAGAGTGCTAGCTGGAACCCCTGACCTAGGATTGTGGTACTCTAAGCACTCTAGTCTAGACTTAGTTAGTTACACAGATTCCGATTACGCAGGCTGTGTGATTGATCGTAGAAGTACCTCTGGTGCTTGTCACTTCCTAGGGTCTTCTCTCATTTCTTGGTTCAGCAAAAAGCAGAACTCAGTGGCACTTTCTACTGCAGAAGCAGAGTATGTAGCTGCTGGATTCTGTTGCACTCAAGTGCTCTGGCTGAAATATCAGTTAATTGACTATGGAATCACTTTAGGGTCACTTCCTATTTTCTGTGACAATACCAGTGCTATAAACATGTCTAAAAACCCTATCCAACATTCTCGGACTAAACACATTGAAGTCCGATATCACTTCATTAGAGACTTAGTCCAGGATGGTAAAATTCATCTTGAGTTTATTAGAACTGAGTGTCAATGGGCGGATATCTTTACCAAATCCTTGCCCTCTTATCAATTCCTACATATCAGGCGCGAATTAGGATTATTCTCTCTCCAGGATCTGCCTAATTTTCAGTAATTCATTCCCTTTGCCTTTCTGTCACTCTCAAATTGATTCTTCTTCCCTTTTCTTACTCTGCTAATGAATCCCCATCCTTCTGGCAAATTACCATATCCTCTCCTGCTCTCCCCATAAAAACCCTTCGTCCTTAGGTTCCCTCACACACACACTCTCGTTTCCAGCACAAATTCTCTCTTTTCAAACACATCCTTTCATCATGGTGCTCAATAACCCTCAGCTGCACCCTGCTGTTACCTTCTCCAACAAGGTATTCAGGAAGGATAAAGAGTTTTCTCGCTATGTTCGTCGCTTTCGTGATCGAGCAATTTACCCCTCCTTCACCATTCAACCATCTGCCTTCTCCAAGTACGATATGGATATATCTACCTTGATTCGCAACCTTGGATGGGAATCTCTGTTTGAAGATCAACGGTTTACCTACTGTCCCGAGGCTGTGAGGCTGTTCTATGTGAACCTCAAACGTGGTTCTGGCGCTGATCTCTATTCCTTCAAAACCACGGTCGGCAATCTTGAGATCACAGTCACTGCTGATCTGCTTGCCAGTGAGCTAGGGCTGCCTCACAATGGTCTCAAGGCAGGGGACGATGGCCAGTTCCATGATTACAATTTTGACTACCATCATGTCCATAACTCCCTTGTGCATGACATTGGTCGATATTTTCCCAATCGCCTTGATGCTGGGCGTCTTCCAGATGATCTGCGTGTTCTTCATTTCTTCATCACTAGGATTCTTCTGCCCAGATCTCTATCGAGTGCCACGCTATTGCACACTACTAATCTCTGGATCCTTCATCATGCTCGGTCTGGTCAGGCTATCAGCTATGCCTCCTTGGTCTTTTGCCATCTTGTCAAGTATGGAGATGACAATTATGATGGTTGGTTGCCTCTGGCACCTCTCATCACCCAGCTTCTGGGGAAGTTAGGAGTTGATCTTCGTGACAAGGTCACACTTTGCAACGTTCATGATGACCTGAAAGCCCAACATGTCCTTGCTCGTCTCGATGCAAGTGTTGGACCCCGCAAGCCTGTCACTGGCTCAGGGGGAGAGGTTGCTGCTTTGGTCAAAGCCCTAGTGTCTGCTGCTGAAGTGGTTGTCGACCGTGAGCTAACTGGTTACTCCAGTGAGAATCTCAAAGGGAAGCGGAAGATTCCTGTAACCACTCTGACATCCTTGTCTACTCGGTTGAAACTCCTCAGAGACGGAGGTGGAGCAAGCTCATCCAGCATCAGGGAGGAGGATGAAGCTGTTGAAGAATCTGAAGAGTTCGGGGATATCTCAGATTATGACTCTCCTCCTCACTATCCCTTTTAGACCAAGTCTTAAGTCTCTTTTAGAATTCTGTCCAGGGTCTAGGTCTAAGTTATCTAGATCAAAGAGCAGCCTTAGCTGTTCCCTGTAATGCTTCTCAATTTCTCTAATGAATAAAGTTCCATCTTGAGTGGATATTGAATTTCTTCTGTAGAACAGGCTGCACCGATTTGTTTGCTGAGTTGATGCAGGTAAGCAGCAATCAAGGAGCCATTGACAAGCTTAGGGGGAGCATGTTGAAGGAAGCTCGGTCAATGGCCCTGATCAAGCAAATATAAACGGCACAATTAGCTGAATTGGAAAGAAATCAAGTATGATGCAGTACCATTTTTATCATGAGTCAAAGATGGAAGGTTTCTAAAAGAGACGTTGAGGAAAGCATGAATATAAAGAGGAGCAGATCATAAACTAGGAGTTTAACCTTTTCAATCGAACAAGAAGAGAAGTGCTGAGAATTAGCTAGAGTTCTTGTTGTGAAAAGAGAGCATATCAGAGTGATTGCTTAGTGGATTAGGTTGATGTCCTTTATTCTTGAGTGACAGTTCAATCTAGTGAGAGTGATCTACCAGCTGAAGGCTGAGAGTTCTCTGTTCAGACTTGTAACAGGAAACTTGAGCAACTAAGTCATTAGTTATACGTTGAAGATCTCAAGAAGAGATTCTTCAACCGTGGATTAGTCAGTGCAGGGATCCTTATTCTCCCTGTACTGGATACCACGTAAAAATCCTCTGTGTCACATCTGTACTTTCGTTTCTTGTTCTATCTGATAAACTGTCTGTGTGTTCTTGAGCTTAGTTTGATACAGGGAAGGGAGCCTGAACTGAAGAACAGGAGAAGATGAAGCTTACTTCATAGCTTCTGTCCTTGGGTCGATTAAGGGCTTTAAGTTTAGGGCCTTCAAAATCATTTCACTGGGCCGGGACTTAAAAACAGAACAGACAGGCCCACTATTAATTCCTTTCACTAGTCATAAACTGAATACTGTTTTACCTTCGTTATTTCTTATCGGTTTCACTCTACATTCACAAGCTCTGTGTTAGGGTTTTGATCTTTCAGAAAGCAAATCAAAGCAAATCGCCGTTGGTCTCGCGCTCGACCTCGTTCAACATTATGGAGTCCTAGCAGGGAACTTGAGTACGAGTATTATATCATAGACACTCCTGTATAGATTAAAGCTTGTGTATTCTGTTTACAGAGCTACTGATTTTTCTGCTTCTAATGAAGGTGGTGACCCTATTTTGGTTAATGAATTGTGGGAAATGAAGTGTTAAGTTTCTTGATGCTCTATCAATACTACTGTTTTGGTATAGGATTACTTGCTCATTCCAGCTGACATTCTGCTCCACTTTATCTGTGACCGTCTATCGTGAACAAAAACTACTCCATGGAGTCCTATAAGGGAACTTAATAAGATGCACAGTTAATCATATTCGTTGCTTGATCCATTTCTGATTTTGTCCCTTGTGACAATATTTCAGAAACTGAAAATTATTCTTAACTTGTGTCCTAAAAGGGGATTTGAGACTCTGCAGAGATGGACCTAAAAACTCCCCTGTACAGGTTGGTTAAATATGGAAATGAAAGTTGGTTCTGGTTTTGCCTCATAATTTAGGTGATGATAACTGCAGTATTGATCTCTTTAGAGAACAAACCTAATAGAACGTGGGAGTGATGTGATTACTGTTGTATTGATGATGATAATTGCAGTATCGGTGTCTCTTTAAAGAACACACTTGATAGAACGTGGGAGTGATGTGATTACTGTTGTATTGGTATCTTATACCAAAATAAACTTAACGTGAAAACTCTGATATGATTGTACTTTGCTAGTTGGATTGTTGATACCATTCTCAATTGCCCTTGGTAATGATTACTACTGCATGGGTATGGTATACCAATATAAACTCTGAAATGAGTTAATTAAGTTTGAAGTATCAGAATAGACCATTATACCAGTATATAATAGTTCTTGGGATTACTACTGCGTTGGTCTGTGATTGTATGTTCTGGGATTACTCTGCAAAAGCAGGCCTTGTTATCTGGTTGTCAAAATACAAAATTAATTTTGTATTCCCTAATAGCTGATGTGGCAAGTAAGTTGGACCTTGACTAACGGTCAACTCAGTTGACCGTCTAATTTGACGGTCAAACCCACCTCCTGGCCAAATAAGAAAGTATGATACATAGTTTAGGCCAGAATAGCAATTTCCGATACCACGGGCCAAAGTAAAAAGTTTGTCTATAGTTCGGGCCAAACTAAGGTATTAACCCTAAAAAGAAATAAACACATAAATAAGGTTACCTATCTTCTCATTTGACCACGTGTAAGTGAAGGTCGCTCATGCATGGTTGAATTGGCTTGGTAGACAGAATTAAGCAAATGCAAAAGAACAAAAATATCTTACCTCCATGTTTTCAATATCACGTGTGATGTAAAGAGATAGGATGATATGTTTCTTTCAATAAAAGAGCTCCATCAAACAGATAATTAGCCATTTGGGGATAGAGTTGTCTTCATTCCCCCTTCTCCACGTGTAATGGTAACATGGAATGTAAATTGGTTGTTTGACACTAGACAATTAATCAAGTAATTATCCACCTCATGTCCACATGTTTAGAGGAAATGAATTGGGTGGCCTTATTTGTGCTTGTTCGTCAAATATAATTCACCAAACAATTCTTGTCTAGGCCACGTGTAGTTTTAATACCAACTAATACCTTTACACATAGAAAATAAAGTGATGAGGTGTTAAATGTTTATAAGTCCATGTAAATGGAATGGTGGGTGGTGAATGCCATGTCTCTTCCATGTGGGTTTGTTTTGGGGAAGTGGATTGGTGGATTTTGTGGGATAATAATAGGAAAAAAACCAACCAATTACTCCATCATGCAATGAGAGGGAGGTGATGAGATTTTTACCCCATTCTCCTCCACGTAGGTTAAGTGGGGATGAGAACTTAATTGTGTGGGAGGTAGTGGGAGTGTTGTTGTTTTGAGATGGGTAAGGGAATAAATACATGCGTCCTTAGTCCAACTCATAGCCATGGTAGGCTAGTTTTTGGAGTAAAGAAAAACTCCCATAATTAAGCTCTTCCTATGACATCTCTTGCACACGTTATAGAGAATATATGATCGCTTTATTTGTGTTTGTTGAATTAGGGTAGCCTTCTTGTAACAAAAAACAGATTGACCTCTCCATGTAAAGGAATTTGTTGACATCCCTTTTACCCATGTATATGGATTGATAGATGGTAAAATTCTGGGTCCAACACTTTTACAATGATAAGTGTTTGCAGCTGTGAAGTTTGTCAAATTCCTGATAATTTGACAACCATCCAATGATTGGTAACATACCAGAGGATGTGACTCCCACATGAGCTTTTCCCCACTTGTTTAAGCCACTATTACCGGCTGTATTTGAAAGTCTGTGCAATGTCAATTTGTGATAGAACAGTGGAATTATCTTGAAATCCAAATGTCGACAGGATCTTCTTGGGATTCTTGTGGTCATTCTCTATGGTGGTTGTTCTGTTCTATATTTGTTCTTACTTCTGCTGACTAAGGTTGGTGTTGGCCTATCCTGAGTTTGCATAGTTGATCCTTCATGCTTGTGGCCAGTGGAAGCTCGCCGGGCAGGAGATGAGTTAGGACAGGTAATGCACAACCATACTCTTTCTGATTCATCATCTTGATCCGTTGCATTAGGTAATATCCCAGTGGCCTTTCTCAGATTCACGAATTGCAATGGGGTATGGCGGGGGCATGTGGAAGACACGACCAGTTTCATCGACGCTTGATGCCTTCCTTTCCACTTGGGAAAGAAATCATTTCTAGAAGTTGGAAAGTGTGGCCTTCATCTTGTCATTAGTCACTAGCAAGCGCTTGAACTTTATAGATGCATAGAGCTAGTACCAAGATTACGCATCCAGATACACCCAAGTGGAATAGAATAGAAATGAGTGACCAAAATAGAGGGTTGCCATTATGAAACCTCTCTAAGTAGTCTGCACGATATCGTAAACCGAAACGTCATCAAATTATAATTGAAGGCGTAATAATTAACTTAGCACATAGTAATTCCCCTCAGCATTAACATAGCAGCAGCTTCTTCTTATAAAGAAAAACATAGCGGCAGCTTCCAATCGCAATTAGAGGCATAATTAACTTAAAATAGTTACATTAGCAGCTACTCGTCCTATTGAAACAAACAAACAAAAAAGCAATTGATCATTTCTACAACTGGAAAATAATATCAGAATTCAGGGGCTAGAACCTAGAAGTGGTGGGTGCTGCTCTCCCCCAATCTCTGCCTGCCTTTTTACTTCCGATGCTCTTTTCACATATTTTCCTTCTTTTTCATTTGAACAATAATATAAAGAAGTTTGGAGGAAAGTGGGAGCCGTTCTGTTCTGGCTTCAGCTGTGCAGCACTGCCCAAAGGTGGGTTTTTTCGCTTTACCAACATAATCCTCTCTTTTCTCTCGAAAAGACTGACTTGCTGCTGTCTGGCTCCCTGCTCCCTTCCCTGGGCTGATTCTGCACTGCCGCAATGGGGGCGCCTAAGCCCTGCTTCTGCCTCTGCCTCTGCCTCTCCATTATCATCTTCTTCCTCCCTCTTGTTTCTTCATCCCACCACCTCCCTGGTAAGTACATATAATAGCATTCCTCGTTTCATTTAATTCCGACTGTTTATCCATTAGGCGATGAGTGGAGTTTGACCCATATGCATATTTACCTGTTGCTGTCAGTCGATATTTGAGAAATTCTTCCTAATCTGAAGCATACAAAGTTGTATTCGTTATGATTGAGTAGACAGTAAAAATGGAAAGCGTTGGATTTGTATTCAACAAACTGTAAGTTGCTCCAGGAGGTTGAATTTGAACAGTGATTGACATTACGGGAGTTCTCTTCTTCTCAAATTCTTCCAAAATGCCGTAACCTGCATGGTGTCCCTTGCTGATAAACTTGAACATTCTGATCAGTAAGCAGCGCCGTTGCTGTTAACTTGTGCCCACTCTTGCTACTTGGTTTAGTGGATGAATTTGTCAAAGCTGCCGTTTGTTGCCATTTCGAGAAACTGAAAGGATCTGAGGCAAGGACAATATCCATACTGGACATTGTCCTCAGATACTGATCATTCATTCAATTAATGTTGCAGGAAACCCTGCCAACGAGATCGTGGCGATCATTAACAAGAACCGAACAGCAGCAAAGCTGGGAGCGTTGAACGACAGCCCGGGTCTGGGGTGCATGGCCTTGCAATACGTGGAGCTATGCAAGGATAACTGCGCCGCCACCAATGGGTCAGTTAACTGCAACCCACCGGAGGACGACTTCACTGAAGTTTTCGGCCCGAACTGTGGGGTAGAGCTGCCCACTTTCGGCACCATAACTGGCCACATTGTGGGTTGCAGCCAATCCAAGAGGTACATTGCTGATCCTGAAGCAGCTTTCTCTGAGGTGCTAGTGAGGGACGGCAGGAGTTTGTCTGTGGTGAGAAACAGGTCGCACAAAGGGGTGGGAGTAGGCCTGTTTGGGGTTCATAAGGGTCCTTTCTTTTGGTGCGTTCTGTTCGGCGATGGAGAGACAAACTCCACCTTTATGTTGGAGGAACGCGGGCAAGGGATTAAGCAGAAGAAAGGATGTTTCAGCGGCAGTGCTTTCGCTTGCAACAGCAGCAACCTCATAAGATCGCTTGGATTGTGGCTGCTGTCTCTGCTGCTGTGCCTTGTTCTGCACATTTTGCGTGGGTAGTTTAAGCTGATATTTGTGGGGAGGGACTATAGCCAGCAAGAAGGGGTAATCTCTTGAAGGTTTGTTTCAGAAATTTGAAGAAATCGGTGGACGAGACTGGATGTAGCTTTGGTTTTCGATTTCCTAACTGATATGTTTTTCTTTTGCTTTCGTGCCTGTGTCGATTTTGTTCTACGAACCACAGTGCGTACAGTAAGCTTTTATAAGTTCTGTGACCATATATTCGAGCTCTGTACGCTTACATTCATCAAAGGCTTCGCGGATCGTACTAAGGTTAACCAACCCGCACCAGGTTCATTAGGGTCCCAAATGATTAATAAATGTAAGGACTAGAGATTACAGACTGAATCTAAGCTGAAAACAAAAGGATCAGAAGATAAAAATATGTATCTAACTGTAGTAAGTGTGAACAACCTCCTAGGATGCATTTATGTCTGTCACTGATATTGGCAAATTACAAGGTCTGTTTATATTGTTTATTACATTACATCAGGGAAAGGATGTACAAAATCCACTATTACTACACCTTGTACAACGTGCGATGTTTGTACCATAAACACTGGAAACTCGTTTACTACCATCCCACGTTACCTACTTGCTGACCCTGCAAAAACCAGGCAATAGAGCCCAAGTGATCAAGGAGTAAGCTCAATTCAAACTTGAAATTTCAGATTAGTAGGGCCCAACTGAAGAAAGAGAGGAGAAGCAATTATACCTGATGCCCTGGAGGTTGAAGCTCTGGTTTCGTCTCTTGAAAGTCTCAGTGACCTTAATGGAATATCTACTTCATCATCCTCATCTTGCTTCCTTCCTCCATCTTCTTGATCCGATGCACTGATCTCGTCTTCTTCTTCACTTGAGCTCGGCTGCTCATCAAACAATCTCTTGCCAGAAATCTTCCGTTGTTTCCTTGGGCGTCCTTTTGCCCTCTTTGCACTAGCCTCCGGCTCCTCTGTGTATGAGAAACAAAGAGAGACAGCCAAGTTGGTAACAACACCAGAAAAAGGGTGGGTACGCAGATAGCAGCATTGAGCACAGAACAGTGGCAAATGAAAGCCAATATGATATTGTGCGGATAGTGAAGATTAAAAATAGGAAGGTGAAGAATCTGGAGACTTGGAGCCAACCTTCATTCTTTGCATACTTCTCTTGTAAGTTTTTCATGAAAGTAAGATAGGGGTCCCAGCCACTTGGATCTTCATCGGTGTTGACATTCTGAGTTCTATGCTCCACATCCTTGAGACTATTCACAAGAAGTATTAATAAGGTGCACAATACTTCAAGTCTCGATCTGTTGTACAAAACACTCCAGAACCAGTGTGGATGCTTACATTTCAATAATGTTCGACACCGGAAGTTTGGAAACAAAAGGAAGCACTGCCCCTCCCAAAAAACTCAGCTGCTTTGGAGCATCGATGAAAGCGTACTCAATTCCATCCTTGACTATTTTCATAACGTCAGACAGATGCTTGTTTCGAGCAGCACCCATAAATGAACCGGACAGTCGGGCAGCCAGATCCTTACATTGTTGCAAAGATTTGCTAATGACAGTTTTATCATCAGTTCTGGAAAGATCTGACATGTGCCTTCCATAAGCCTAGTTCAGTGCAAAAGAGAAAAAAAATTATAAAACTTCCACTGATGGAGAGACCTTTCAGTGTACATGCATGCATTTACCAGCACATACAATCACATTTTGCTATCATGGAATTACAGCTCTTACCGCCTTCAAAGCTTCTAGGAAGATAGTGGGAATATCGTCATCTCTTTTCTTGATAACAGTGATCAAATGTTTAACAATGTCTGTGATACTCGTATCATGCATTACAAAGTGAGAGATGATTTGTGGAGAAAGATAATCCTGCAATAAAGAAAAGAGGATCTAGTAAGCACAGCCCTTGCAAGAAGAAATCAATTTCAGTATCAACCTTCCATACATGCTACCAACATCATCCCAGACCTGATCTAACCCTCCCCTCCATACATACATGCTACCAACATCATCCCAGACCTGATCTAACCCTCCCCACAAAGAAAAAAGAAAGATAAAAACACGTGCAAGGTTTTCTTACTTTTGAAACTGTGTCAGTGGCAACCAACTTGGCAGCAGCAATCATAATAGCATCTCTATTTGTTTCCTCAACGTACTCTTTGTTCTCATCTTCTGCCTCGTCTACAGGATGCATAGAGCAAAAACAGTACAGGGGAATCTTGAAATCAAAACCAGGAAGAGAAGCAAGGGGTTAAACTAACTCGAAATCAATAATCGATCTGTGATCTCGACCTTGTAAACAAAGTTGGTACCAAACACACCAAAGAGGTTCTCTATCCTATCAAAATAACCATACTACTGGCAGGAAACATAATTAGAGGAAGTTCATTACTTCACCTCCAACATTCAGCTGCTTCTCGCAAAGCTTCCAGAATCCTTGTAGAACAGATGTGCTTGGACAATATCCTAAACTTTCCAGTTGGCTCAATGAAAAATTTCTGTGCCGGAACAGACACCACGCCTCTGCAGCTATAATGCAGATCTGCCACGGAGCAGTTTCTCATTAGACCACTAGTAATGGCATCAGAAACATGCAATGTAAAACATAAGAAATCAAAACATTCAATGCATGTGACAAAAACAAAAAGGAATAAAAAGATAAAGAAAGAAACAGAAGTGCTTACTCTGCAAACTAACTGATTTCCATAGTTATCCCCCTCATCATCAGACTGGCTCCCAAGGAAGTATTCAAGTTCTTTGAACAAGGTATCCCGTTTCACCAGTAAGGAAGATAAAGCTTCTTCAGAGACAGTTTCACTGTTTGCAGCTGCTTGTAAAGACCAAGCCACATGCAAATACATATTGAGGAGCAGAAAACTTGCTACCTGGATAAGCAAGAACACTCAGTATGGTAGGAAGTAAACTAAAAGAGCACAAATTACACAGTAGATTCATCATCGGTACCAGACACACCTCATCATCTTCAGTTCTGAAATCATGAAGAGCACTAACAAAATCTTCAAATAAACTCTCAAGTGGAACAGCCCTCGACAACTGAAGCTCATATAGCCTTTTCAAGTTAACAAGAAGCGCATATTCATCGCCATGCTGCAAAATTAAATTATGTCAGATCCCAGGCATTTGCATTAATGAAAAGAATAGTGCATTTGACATAGCCCTTTACCGCAGCTTCTTTGAAAGCAGATCTAAGCTTAGCAATAAGCTCATCTTCAAGATACTTTAATTGGTTACAAGCAAAATCTTTCAGCTCTCCCTTGCTCTCTACGGAACAGAAATTAAGTGCTTTCACACAGGACCTCAAGGCCTCCTTCTCACCATGTTTGAAGAATGCCTCTTTGATGAGTAGCAGAACACTTCTGAAATTCTGAAACGTAGCAGCAGATATCAATCTTTGTTCAGACTGTCCATATATTTGCATCATAAATTCTACAACCCACCTGGTCCTGTCTCTTCAGTGAATAAAGCTCCAGATTCATATACAAAATGGTCTCAACCAGTGACGGTATCTTTGATTTCTCAGCCAGAAACTTGCGTAGCAGAAGAGGGTAGTGTTTCATCATAGCATTTGTTATGTCCCGCTTACTGGTTTCAAACAGTTCCTGAAATTCGTGAACATCTTAAAGGGTGCAAAATATATCCTACACTACTGTAAAGTGTAAAGCCAGAGAATAACAGAAAAGTAGCAAATCAAAAATATCATGGCAGACATCCTCTTCATATATCTGCATGCAACACAGTCAAATGTATGCACAAAAGGTTCGTGATGATATAACTTTGCAGTTCCAGTGAACAGCAAGGCAACCTTATAGGATTTCATTTATTAAGTTCCACCTCTCAGTTCTCACATAACTTGACTTGGGGATATGGATGCATCGATTACTAAACTAGATGCATGATTCACCATGACAAATAGACATGAAAACTCAACCTAACTGCCAATGATTGCATACTTTCTGCGCTTTCGTGTAAGATAGCTTCCGATTATCAGACGATGGAACAATTCTCTCCCCAACAGCTTTCCTGACAGAAGCAAAAAGAAGTCTGACCAAATTTGTCGCATCGTCATCAGTAAGCTCTATCCTTGAATTCTCATCCAACAGCATAGAGATGATGCACTTCCAATCCTGCGGTGGTATTGACATTACAGAAGATTCAGCTCAGACATGGAAATTAATCTTGCTAGAAATGAATTGGAAAACTCCAGCCAAGAATGACCCCTTTTTCTCTTCCACACCAACGAATAAATTATATAATTTGTGATAACCGACCTTCATTGCTTTCATGTACTCCCATAAATCATCAATAACATAGACACTGAGTATTGGATCTGTTGAAAACTCCCTCAGAATATGCAGCAGTCTGCTGAGATGAACCTCAGAAGATGCCTTGTCACTGCCTGGGGAATACAACACCTTTCAGACCAAGTCAATGTAATGAATCATAAGATAGACAAAGTTCAAGTGAACTTAAACCTCCTGAGCCAGATTGGGAGCTGTTAAATTTTTGAGCTATCAAGTGATCAAATACTAATTCTCCAATGGCACGTCGAATCTCTGGGGGGTCATCAATAAGTAAATCATACAAGGGACCCAAGTCGTCTTCAGGAAGAAGCTGATGCCTGAAAGAGAAAGACATAACAAAGAGCACTACTGAGACTCTTAGCGCAAGAGACTTATGATGTAGGTTCCAATAAGAGATTCCACACAGCAACATAGACAGTTTACAAGAGAGAATGATAGAGAATAACCGAAGTAATTGCTTCACGAGTCCAATGGCACAAACAGCTACAGGAACGTCTACGTCATCAGCAAGCTCTATCATCCGGTTGGAAAATCTTTCAGTAAATAGACCAAGAGTTGGGGCGTTATCATCTACGTCATAGAGATTTTGCAATGCAAGGATTGATGTCCTTCTTACACCAGCATTCTTCAGGTGTCATAAAGCAAAAAACATGTTACATCAATATAGAGATAGCAGGAATCCAAGTCAAATAGTGACATTTCAAGAAACCTACTTTATCATTGAGGGTCCATCCCAGGTACTTCAAGTAAGCATCTCGCAGGAAATGTGATGGATAAGACAAAATCCATACACCAAGAGACTCAATGCATGACATCCGAATGTTGGGATCTATATCTCGATACCGGTGGATAAATAACCTGAAAGTCAAAATTACTGTAACATCAACAGCGGAGCTTACGTGGCAATAATAACAAATTAACTACATATGACAATGGGAGTCCTACCCTGTAAATATTTTGCGCATCATTTCCTCTAGCACAACTATCTTATCATGAGTCATTGACAACCTTTTATTTAATGACTCCACACGAGAACCCTCACTGCGTTTTTTCATCTCGGCATTTAACTGCCTTTGAGTAGTTTCTCTTTGTGAACCAAGCATCTTGGCAACAGCAATGAAGGATGTGACAAGTTGAAGACCCATCAAGGAAGCTACTTGCCGGTAGACCCTTGGTGGAGTGCTGCAGAACACATATAAGACATGAGCCACTTGATGGCATCAAACATATACATAATAAATGAAAGCTAATTACTCACCATGACAGAGCAATTATATAATCCATACACTTGTCAAACAGAACCTTGTCAAACAGTGGCCCATTCTGGCACTCAACGACCAGATTATCCCAGAATAAAACAAGGTTATCTCTGAAGTTTCTAAAATCCTTTCGCTTCAAACTTTGGTGGTCTTCCACTTCACCCTAAATCCCATAGTTGATAAGGAGACCAAAGATGGAAACATAAGGAGTGGCAAATCCAAATATTCCAATTTAGACATTATGATTTGAACCAATTATGAACTACAAACTGAAAAGTATGAAGTACAAGAGAAACAAGATACCTTTCTAGCTAGATTAACAAGTGCAACCACAACATCATCAACATCAGTCTCATTTACCAACTCCTTTTCAATATGGTATTTAGCTCCACATGCCTGCACGACATGTCTATAGTCAGTAACCCATATTCAGATACAATATGTCTTCAGCCACATGTGCACACACGCAAAACACTCTCTGTTTAAGAACATCTAGCTTGGATATAATTGTTAATTTGTGTCCCAGATTCTCCAATGACCACCTCAGAGATACATTTACCTCAAACAGCATAGTCAAAAGTTCAGCCATTGCAGGATTTGGATCCCTTTCATAATGCTCCACCCATGACTTTGCCACTTGAGGAATTCTTCTTCCATTACCCTTGATAGCCTCTGTTCCAGAAGTAAGACATAAATCAGAAAGCAAAAAACGAACACTTTTGACACACATCCAATAATTATTATTTGAGGTATGCATACCAATATCCATCGTGACATTGAAAAGCGACATTAAGGATATCCTATAGAGTTGCATTGGTAGAATTTCAATCAATGACCTATTCAGAATCTTGCTTCTATTGTCTATGTGTGCAACAGGTGTTTTCGGTTCCCGTAGAAAAAACAGAATTCCCGATATCCAGAAGCACCTTTCACCGCATTTTCACATGAGTTATTGCGCATCAAATGTCAGTAGAACCATCCAAAAAACTCTCTATAAGACCATGACACGAAGTGAATAGACATTGATCCAAACATGGTTGCTTCCTGGTTAATTACTGTTCCAGTCTAAGCAGAATATAAATGCCCAGAGTAGACAGAAAAAGAAACACTACCCTATATATATTCCTGGCGGGGGAACAACAGGCCAGACACTTGAAGCGTAAATTCTCCACATAAAACACTTCAATTACCATGAAAATCACCTAAACCTACAAAAACACGGACGAAGAAGGTAAAGTTACCAATCAGGGGATAAAAGGAACCGCCGGGTGCGGCCGAAGTGTCCTCGACACCAGCACGCTTCCGCTTAGCTTTAGGAGGAGGCTCTTCAAAATCATCTGGAGACTCCTCTCTTTCATCATGGGAACCTCCATCGTCGCTAGCACCGGCAGTCTCCTCTTGATTTGCTCCTCTGCTGCTGGTTACTTTCTTAGCAGTCTCGACCTGCCGCCGGTTCCTCTTCTGCTCGCCCCGAAAATAGAAACCGGAAACGCAGGAAAATCAAACTCGCGAAGTCAACTTACACAGTAGCGACATAATTGTCTATGTAAGCACACTAGTTGCTAGAGAAGTGAGACTTACAGGACGTAGTTGGCGGCGATTCTCCGTCTCTGGAGCTGCGTCCTCCTCCATGAGCTAGGGTTTACAAGTCCCGAAATGTAATTATAAACTCGAGCTCCTTGCCCTCGGTGAACGGAGACAGACAGGAGAAATTCGAGCTGGAATGGCGAATCTGAGAAGAGAGGCGAATTTTGCCCTAGTTCTTCGGAGAGAGATTGAGAGCGGAGAAAATCCCGCCAAATGAACTTTCCGCGTTATACTTTAGCCGCTGAGTTAACTTTGTTAGTCTTCGTCAGATGGTACCCAAAAACAAGTGGGAAAGGTGGGAAAATTAGATCAAAAAATATTATTTGAGTGTAGAGACTCGAGACACAAGACGCTAGGTTGTCAAACCGGTTTATACCGTTGTGTCGGTTTAGTAAGTGGAATGGTACGATCAGTAGTATAATCAGTTTGTGTCGGTTCATGCCGATTTAAAAAAATGTGATAACAATTATTATCCAATGTATTTAATCATATATAAAACATATTTGTGGACAATTTAGTTACAATCCAACAAATATCATCAACTTTTAACTATTACAATCATAAAATAAATAATAAATTAATTTTTTATTCATTAAATTCATTAAAATAATGTCATTTTACTTAAAATGCGTAAGTCGATCATACCGGTAGTGTCATGTCGGTTTCATGACCGGCATAGGTTGAACCAGGTTCAACTGGGTGGCATGCCACCGGTATGGCAACCAAGAGCAACCGCAGCCGGTCTTTCCCTCCTTTCATTGTGACTTGTGAGACGTGGCATGAGTTGCTGCCTATTTTATGGTTGCAGCCGCTGTTAATAAACTTCTGACTCGAGAAAAACTCGTTCGACACTCGATTCGTCTTAATCGAGCCGGCTCGCGAACAAGTTCGTTAACTAAACGAGTCGAACTCGAGTCATACCATGTTCAGCTCGAAAGCTCGCGAACAAGCTCATTTAATGGTTTGGCATAAAAAAATATTAGAATTCATGTATTTTATGAATTGAAATTGGGATAAATATTGTGTTTTACTTTGATAAACTTTCCTACAGGTTTGAGTGTAATTTTGTGCTTAGTTTTAAGTCAATCTTGAGCTATCATGAATATTTTATGAGCTGAACTCGATCTTGGGCTCATTAAACTTATTTGACGAGTCGAGCTCGAGTCGAGCTAGAGCTTTCATTTTCATAAAGAGCCAAGCTCGAGCTTGAATATTAAAGCTCGTGACGAACACGAGCCGAGCTCGAGCCTGGAAATATATTAACGAGCCGAGCCCGAACTATGGCAAAGCTCGGCTCGATTCGGCTCATTAACAGGCCTAGTTGCAGCCCCTCTTCCATATAAATTAAGGGTGGTAATAGGTCAGTTATCAGTTTAACTAGTTACCGACTATCCGATTATCGGTATACCCTTTTTCCCCTAAGTGTTGTTGGCTATCGATACCGAAAAGAAATCGATTAAACCGATAATCGAATAACCGATTATTGATTAGAGACCGATTAACACTCTGTACCAGATGAATATCTTCTTATCTCCCTTATCCCTCATCGTGTTCATCTGCATCTCTTCCATCTTTCCCAAATCCGCCTCTCTCTCTCTCTCTCTCTCTCTCTCTCTCTCATCTAAATCCTCCTACGTCTTCCCAAATTCTTTATCCGTCTGCCGGATAACTGAAAGGGAAGCGGATTTATGTTCGATGGAAAGGAGGGGAAGGGGGTATTCCCAAAATCCTTTCTTCGCCTATCGAATAACTGAAGGGGAAGGGGATTTATATTAGAGATAAATGATTATTTTCATTTATTTCTTTTTTGTATTATTTTATTTTTCCCACTCTCGGTTATGGTTCCTAATCTTGTGGGAGGTGCTTAGCTTTCTGTTGCTACGTGCACCTGATTTATCTCCTCCAAAACTGTATATTAACTTGTGTATCTGTTAATGAGAATGTATCCAAGATTTTCCAATCATCTCTAGATCCTAAATCCTCAACATGGTATCAGAACTGGTTATTTCCTTGAGGTCACGTGTTCAAGTCCTCACGACCCCCAATATTAATCGTTGTCTTTCAAGCACATGGTATGGCGGGCCTGTGCAAACTTCAAGCCCAAGAGTCCCCTTTCATTTGAGGGGGCGTGTAAGGAAGTGGTTAAGCACCATACACGGGCATGTATAAGATCCAACATAACCTTCTCCCAACAACTCGAGTTATTGAGACCAACTTGTTTATGACATGGTATCAGAGTTAGCAACGATCAGCTAGATCCGATTTATCTCAGCCTACCTCTTCTCTGTTCTCTCCTTGTTATTCTTCTTTTCTCATACCTTTGTTCGTTGATTTCTCCCCTGCACAATCACCATGGCTGGCGACACAAGTGCATCTGATTCAAGCAACGGTTCAAAAAATGCAGAAGTCTAGATCATTACATTCAATCCGACGGCTCAGCTTCCTCTCAATCTGACTCCAATCAACTTTGCTTTCTGGCGTTCACAACTGGAAACTCTTCTCATGGGACTCGATCTAATCGGCTACATCGATGGCACAGCAACAGCTCCGCCAAAATCAATCACGGTGGATTCATCCTCTATAGCAAATCCGGTTTATCATAATTGGTTCAGGCAAGACAAACTTATCCTTCATGCCATGAGATGCTCAATTGATGAATCTATTTACTCTTTCGTCTCTGTCGCGTCAACCGCCCGTGAAGCTTGGCTTACTCTGGAAAAACTATACGCGAGCAATGCTCAGTCACGTATTATCTATCTGAAGGGGAAACTTGCAAAATCAATCAAAGGAGAACGTGATATTCTCTCTTTTGTCAATGATTTGAAGACCACTGCAACCGAACTTGCTCTTATTGACGAGCCGGTTAAGGACATAGATCTAGTTGTCCACTGCCTCAGGGGACTCGTCGATGATTATCAATCCTTCTCCGCCATTGTTCGTGCCAGAGGACCCGGTCTCACACTCGAAGATTTGGTGGATTCTTTGGTCGAATATGAGGAAGATCTCAAGGCTCGATCGCACTCCACAGTTCCGACGATGTTTTATACACAGGGACGCCATGGTGGCTCAGTGCAACCTCGCTCGTCCAGGGGTGCGCCGCCGCCCTATCCCGCTCTCTCTCGTGGGCCGTCAGGTCTGCTGCAGCGCCCGCCAGGCCCGTCCTAGCCTCATTTTTCAGGCCCAACATTTCCCAGCGACTCGGCCAGCCCACCCCCTCGACGGGCCCGTATCATCTGTCAGTTTTGTGAGAAACCAGGGCACACAGTGCGCCAATGTTTCCAACAGCTCCCACAGGCCCGCCAGGCCCACTTAAACAACAGACAGGCTCAAGCCCACTTCTCTAATGTAGTCCTTCCATTACAGCCGCCTCCTGCCAGCCCTTCGCCTAGGTCCAACTCCTGGTTAATGGACTCGGCGGCTTCCCATCATGTGATAGCTGATCTTGGGAACTTGTCTCTCTACTCAGATTATACTGGGCCTGATGAACTGATTGTTGGCAATGGCTCAGGTTTGCGGATTAGCCACATTGGCTCTTCTCGCCTCTTTACTGGCTCTAAATCTCTTTCGTTAAATGACGTATTGCATGTTCATGCCATCAAAAAGCATCTCATTTTTGTGGTTCAATTATGTCGTACTAACCCAATGTCCGTGGAATTTTTTGCCACACATTTTGTTGTGAAGGATCTTCGCACGGGGGCGCAAATGTTGAGAGGGGAAAACAAAGGTGATGTGTATGAGCTGCCCACAGAATCCGAACCAGTTCGCATGGCACTAGTCACCACTCGTACTTCCACAAGTTCCTGGCATTCCCGCCTTGTCATCCGTCTGATAGTTCTCTTCGTAGTCTACTTCATTCCCATTCACTTCCTGTTTCTTCGGCCTCTACTCATAGTCATTGTGATGCTTGTCTTTCTAATAAATCTCACAAACTCCCATTTGGTGTTTCATCTCTTTCCAGTTCACGACCATTTGAACTTTTGTATGCTGATGTGTGGGGCCCTGCTCCTGTTACCTCACTTGATAGTTTTCAATATTATTTGATTATTGTAGATCATTTCACACGTTATACATGGTATTACCCTCTTCGTAGAAAATCTGATGTTCTTCAGGTCTTCCTTGATTTTCGTACCATGGTTGAAAACTACTTCTCTACTACCATTAGTCGCATTTACACCGATGGTGGTGGTGAGTTCCTCAAACTATGCCCCACCCTCACAACACATGGGATCAGTCACCTACTCACTCCTCCCCATACCCCGGAGCATAATGGCCTCGCCGAACGTAAACATCGTCATCTTGTCGAAACTGGTATCACTCTCCTTAATCATGCTCGTTTCCCTTCCTTTTTTTGGTCCTTCGCGTTTTCCACTGCCATTTATCTTATCAATCACATGCCTTCCTCTGCTCTTCATGGCCAAATACCATACACCCTTCTTTTTAATCAAACCCCTAACTATCATAAACATCGGATTTTCGGATGTTTGTGTTATCCTTGGCTTCGCCCCTATGCAGCCAACAAACTTGCTCCCAGGTTCCGTTCCTGTCTATTCCTCGGCTACTGTCCCCAACGAAGTGCCTATCGCTGTCTTGATCCACTCACTAATCATATTTTTCTTTCTCGTCATGTGCAATTTGTGGAAGATGTTTTTCAAGGCTATTTATCCCCTACTGCTCCAGCCATTCCCTCGCCTACGGCCTGGTTGTACGATTCATCACCTACAATCACCACACTCCCCACGGCTCGGCCCACATCACCAGCGTCCAGCCCACCTCCAACTCGGCCCACTTCCCTCTCATCATCAGCGTCCCCTGCCATGGACTCCTCTTCAACATCATTTGGGCCCTCCTCGGATACTGAGCCTGCTACGACCCCACTCACTCCTCCGACCGGGCCTCCTCTCCAACCCATTCAGCCATCTCCTTCGGTCTGTGTGCACACCATGAGAACTAGAGCCCATGATGGGATCTTTAAGCCCAAACGACTTTTTCACACTACCGCTGGGCTGGCCCCTTCCTCCTCCCTGCCGCCGCTGGAGCCTGCTTCTGTTCATGAAGCCCTCCTCTACCCTGAATGGTTTGATGCTCTAAAGGAAGAAAATCAGGCCCTCCATGCCAACGACACATGGGATCTTGTTCCACGTCTTCCTCACTACAACGTTCTTGGCAATCGTTGGGTCTTCCGGGTGAAACGTGAACCTGATGGAGCCATTGCTCGGTTCAAAACCCGTTTGGTTGCCAAGGGCTTTCACCAACGGCCAGAGGTTAATTTTGGTGACACCTTCAGTCCGGTGGTCAAACCGGTCACCGTTCGCACGGTTTTTACACTGGCATTATCTCACAATTGGCCCATTGCTCACTTTAATGTAAATAATGCTTTTCTTCAGGGTCCCTTGCAGGATGAAGTCTATATGGTCCAACCCCCGGTTTCAAGGATCCGACCCGTCCTCATCATGTCTGTCGCCTCAAACGCGCCATCTATGGGCTTCGCCAGGCCCCTCGCGCCTGGTACACTGCTCTCAGCACTTTCCTTCTCGAGTTTGGCTTCGCCAAGACGATCTCTGATTCCTCTCTATTTGTTCGCACGGTTTTTACACTGGCATTATCTCACAATTGGCCCATTGCTCACTTTAATGTAAACAATGCTTTTCTTCAGGGTCCCTTGCAGGATGAAGTCTATATGGTCCAACCCCCGGTTTCAAGGATCCGACCCGTCCTCATCATGTCTGTCACCTCAAACGCGCCATCTATGGGCTTCGCCAGGCCCCTCGCGCCTGGTATACTGCTCTCAACACTTTCCTTCTCGAGTTTGGCTTCACCAAGACGATCTCTGATTCCTCTCTATTTGTCTACAAACAGAGAGATGTGCTGCTCTATTTTTTGGTCTATGTGGATGATCTTTTGCTTAGAGGCAATAATGATCAGCTTCTTGCTACCTTTCGTGAGGCACTTTCTCAACGTTTTCCCTCAAGACCTGGGGTGACGTCAGTTACTTTCTGGGCATTGAAGTAATTCCCACCACTACTGGCTACCTCTTGTCTCAACACAAATATATGAAAGACATCCTCCACCGGTTCGATATGCTCGACGTGGCTCCCGCCCCAACACCAATGGCTTTCACCGCCACTCTTATTCTCAACGATGGCACTACTCCAACTGATGCTACCCGCTTCCGCCAAATCATTGGTGCTCTTCAGTACTTGGTCTACACTAGGCCAGATATTGCCTTCTCTGTCAACAGACTCTCCCAGTTCATGCACTCCCCCACCATCGCTCATTGGCACTGCTTGAAGCGCCTGCTTCGTTATGTTGCCGGCACTCTCAATCATGGTCTCGTTATTCATCGCTCTCCCCAACCGCTTGCACTCTCTGCCTTTGCTGATTCTGACTGGGCAGGCAACTTGGATGACCGCTCTTCTACTTCAGCTTATCTAGTTTACCTTGGCTCCACCCTCATCTCCTGGCGATCCCAAAAGCAACGCACCATTGCGCGCTCTAGTACGGAAGCCGAATACAGGGCTATTGCCCAAAAGCAACGCACCATTGCACCACCCTCTTCACTCCCTGCCTACGCTCTACTCCGACAACCTCGGCACCACCTATTTCTGCTCAAATCCGATCTTCCATTCTCGCATGAAGCATCTGGCCTTGGACTATCACTTCGTGCGTCAACTTGTTCAAACTGGCCGCCTGGTGATTCGTTACATTCCCACCGCCCAGCAGCTCGCCGACGTTCTCACCAAACCGCTCCCTGCTACTCGCTTCTTGCTCCTCCGGTCCAAGATCGGCGTTGTTGACACAACGTCCGTCTTGCGGGGGCATATTAGAGATAAATGATTATTTTCATTTATTTCATTTTTGATTATTTTATTTTTCCCACTCTCAGTTATGGTTCCTAATCTTGTGGGAGGTACTTAGCTTTCTGTTGCTACGTGCACCTGATTTATCTCTTCCAAAACTGTATATTAACTTGTGTATCTGTTAATGAGAATGTATCCAAGATTTTCCAATCATCTCTTGATCCTAAATCCTCAACAATTTATGTTCGGTGGAGAGGAAGGGGAAGGGGCAACATGCGGTGGCTGGAGATGGCGATGATTATTCTCCGGGGATTCGACTAGCGATGAGCGGGAAAAAGCAAAGGATGAGATCTTGGTGTAGGCTAATTGTTGGTTGCTGGTCTCTTGTTGTGGGTCAATGTGAGGGACGAGGGCAGATCATTGGATTTAGAGGCAGAGATAAATTCGTATGACAAAAAACGAATTAATTAATTAATTTTTTGTATTAATTACATATTGAGAATTAAAAATCCATATTAAATACATGTTTTTTTAAATTTAAATCTTACAATAAATACAACTCTCTCTCTTCCTTTTCCAGCAGCCAATCCACTCCGACCGGCTGATTTTTCGACCGACAGACTTTCTCCGACGAAATTCTTGAATCAGACTCACTCCGACCACCTGCAAAAAATTATCACTCTGTTATTGCGTTAGTGGTACGTAACCACTACCACTGGTACCACTACCAGTACAATGCTACCACTACCAGCTATAAGATGGTAATAGTAGCGTGCCACTTCATCTAGTACCACTACGAGAAGAAAATCACCACCACTAGAAAAAAACAGATTTGAAAATCCAAAAATCACAGATCTGAAAAACGAAGGGAAGGAGAGGAAGAGTATAGTGGCAGAGGGACTCACACCGGAAGATGCAAGGAGAGGAGGCACGACGGCGGCGATAGGGGGGCGGAGAGCTGGTAACGACAGGGGATGAGGGAGGCGGAGGATTGCGGAGGCGAAGGCGGTGGAGGGCTCGGCAGGGGGTGGAGGGAGGCGGGGGATTGCGGGATGGCGACGATGGAGGGCACGAAAGGAATGGATGGAGGCGGCGACGGGTGTGGTGGGCGGCGGCGGGGGTAAAGAGCGACGGCGGTGGTGAAGGGCGACAGGGATGGAGGGCGGCGGTGCCATTTGCCGGAGAGAAGAGGAGGAAGAGAGGGAGGAGTTATGATTTTATTTATTTATATGGGAGGAGAATGATTGAGTGTGGTAGTATTTTTCCCTTCCAAAAATACTCTTATTTTAATCCTAACCATCAATTTGGAAAAAAAAGAAAGGGTAAATACAATTTAATATCCAAACCTTTCATTTTAAACAATATAATAGCCAAACATTTTCGAAAACAATCTAATATTCAAATCGTCAACTTTCCGTTCGTTTGACCGTTAGTTGACACTTAAAAAAAATTCGAAGTACGATGCTTCATCAATATCCATCGATATCTTCTCTGAAAAACTACCAACATATCGTGGTTCCAAACCCGAGAAATCCATGACTCCACCATGATGGTATAGAATATCTAAATATTCAGTCATCTGTTATGCCAAAACAAGAAAACAAAGTTGTATTGTGAAAATTTCCCCTAAACAAAGCTTTTTTGAAGTGTCAACCAACGATCAAACGGACGGAAAGTTGACGATTTAGATATTAGATTGTTTTCGAAAAGGTTTGACTATTATATTGTTTAAAATGAAAGATTTGGATATTAAATTGTATTTACCCAAAAAGAAAAGAGTGTATCCAATTGCTAGGAAGTGAGTTGTGAATCTCACAACCCCATAAAAGGAAGGAACGTATCCCATCCCCATTCCACTTTATGTGCTTCTTTTTTTTTCATTCCCCTTTTGTGTGAGTTGGGAGAAATTATATTTGTGTATGCAAATTGCAATTATAATTTAAGATAAACAAAGGAAATTCATTAACTTATGATCAATTAATTTTTTAAATTTTGAGAACGTTATACGAAAAAAGTTCACATACGCTTATATAGATATAAAGATGTCTCAACTACATCCAAATACAAATTACATAACAAATCAACAATACTTAATAAAAATTCATTACACTTAAATTAACTAGTACATACTTTGAAGTCTTAAACTAGCACACAAAACAAATACACATACGACAATATGCAACTACATAAATTATTCAAACCATAAAATAAAATCATTGATTGTCCAATAACTCTTGAATTTTCTTTTCATACAACAATTTTTATGTGTCTGTCATCGTTGATAGATCTAGTTTCATCAGTTTCACCATTAACTTATCTCTCTTGTATGGTTCTTTTTTCCTCTTTTGTTGTTCTTTTTTCCACGCACGTTCTTCCTCTAGTCTTACCTTTGCAACTGTGAATTCTTTCATCACCTCTACCTTTATTGCTTCAATAATGATTTTTTGTTGCACTATTGCTTCCATACTCTCCACTGAATCAGATGATATAGATGGCCTTTTACGTTTATCCTTTGAATAAAGCTATAATATATTTTCCAATGAATTAGTAAATTTATTTCATTATTGATAATTAAATAATTACAATATATTATTTTAATTATTTGATGCAACTTAAATTGGTAAAATCATATAGGTTAGATAAAGGTATAGATGTATTAAAAAGTAAGTTGGACCCACCATATGAAATAGATAGTGGATTTCATCGATATAGAGGAAATGAAAATGATATGGAGTAGAAGAAGCTATTGATGTGGCACTAGGGGGGATTTTTCCAGAAATAGCACCATTAAAAAAATTACAAAATAGCACCCAGCCCACACAAATTCCAAAAATAGCACCTTTATTTTAAAACCGCACCTTGGTCGTGCGGTTTACATGTAAACTGCATCCTGAGGGAGCGGTTTGAGGTTCTGGGCCAAAACCGCATCTTGGCCATGGCCATGCGGTTATGATTCTAACCTAACAGAACCACATCTTGGCTGATACGAGCACAGGGGGTGCTTGTTTTGATCAAAGTACACAGCAACAATCAATCAAAGAAGAACCTTGATTGAACGAATAAAACGAACCAAAAACATATAGTTATTGGGTGTTTGAGATAGAACGGAACCAACGTGCAATTCCACACCTGGGGAGAGGCTCGACTGGTATAATGATAGATGCCCGGCCACGATCAATGCGTTCTTGATCGATACAAGAGCTCAACGAGTTTGGAATACACGAAACTCAACACAAGTACACAAACTTGCAAAAACCCAAAGGTTTCAATTCAATTCTTCAAAATCTGAGTTTACAACGTAAAAGAAAGCTTTAAATAAACCTAAGCTACGTCTAACAACTAAAAAGGAAGTCTAAATACAATCTAACTCGAAAAGGAATCAAATCTAACAATCATAGTTGAATAAGGAAAGAAAATCTTGTTTTACAAAGGCAGAAATTATGTGTTTCGTACTAACTTCGTGCCTTTCGTTCGAAGTATTCCAGATCTCCAATCACTCATCCAATTCCTTCCCATGGTAGATAAACATACCTAATTCCCACTCAAAACAACTCTACTACAACAAGTGAAGGGAGTCTCCTTTTATAGAGAAATGGAGTCTCCTTTTGGTAAATAAATTGAAAAATACAATGATGACAATGTGGACACTTATATGATTATGTCACATGTCATAACAAAATTACATTTTTAATATAAAGGAAAATAGATAATTTGTGGTCTTCTTTCCATAACCAAATTGAGTGGGTTGGAAGTGGAGTCACTTCTTCTTTGTCTTTAGGATAGTGGGTTGGAAGTGGAGTCACTTCTTCTTTGTCTTTATGATAGTGGAAGAAGCAATGGGGTCACTTCTTCTTTGTCTTCAACTTAGTGCTCTTTGTTGCCAAAGGACCAAGCACTTCTTCATCCGGGTCATGGTTTTGGAACGTGGAATTTGCGTTAGATATTGAGCTAGACGCCACATCTTTGAGAATTTGGAAGTATTCTTCTTCAGTCTTGGAGCCAGCTAAGAGAGCGCTAATTGAGGAGTTTGTTTGCAAAAATTGCGTTGAGGATTTTTCGATAACTTTGGACAATTCAGGATTGTTATTGAACCATTGGAGGACTTGAGGTTTGTAGGCTTGTTCTGGCGAGGATTTGCGGCCCAATATTTGGTTTTGAAGCTGCGGCCTAACATGGGTACCTTTGTGACGACACGGGTTTGGTAACTGAAGTCCCAGGCTGTAATCCAAGGAACTTTGATGTAGTAACAAAATTTGAGGAGGGGTAATCCTGGACCAGAATATTTTTGACAAAAGGTTTGATATCCCTCTTGTATCTCAGTTGAATAGATATTTTCAGTTGGCCCAAAAAGATTCCACCATTGCATAAATCAGTTGGGGAAAATAATGGGAGTTTTGTAATCCCAGAAAAAACTCCAGGAGTGTCGGTACATATGGTTTTGCTTAAAGAAGGCATTAAAGCAAGCTTCATGGTAATTCCAATAATTGAACGATTGGCAGATTTGCGGGTGGTTAAGAGCAATAGTAGCAGGGAATTTTTGGTTGGTGTTTGGGCTAGTAGGACATTGGCGAGGGTGGATAATTTGGTGGATTTTGCAGGTTGAGTGGATATTGAGTGTTTTGTCTAAAGGATCAAATTTGTGGGAAAAGGTGACTGATCCAGTTTCTGTGAGGATAAGTTCATTATATTTGTGGGTTTTGTTGAGGGATCTTGGTTTGAAGACCCACTCATTGAGGAAATGTTTGGCAGTAACATTTTGGATATTGATGGCAGAACCCATCTTCGACAACGAAAATGGGTTGAAAAGTGTTTTTCTTAAAATACGTTTGAAATCGATTTTGAGGGGCTTGGAAAACCACCACCTCTTGGGTTTTGTGAAAAACGGTTTTGAGAGAGGCTATCGAAGATGCCACCTCTGTTGAGGTAGGTGCGACATCAAGATGATGTTGCTGATAGATTTGTTTGGTTTCTTCGGAAGAGATGGGTGTGGGTAGGATGCCACTTGGCGTATGAGTATTTGAAAGAATTAGTTTAGAAGGGGAAATTGTTGAGGAAGTTGAAGCTTCAATGGGAAGCTTTTGTTTAGAACCAGAAACGCCAATAAATTTTTGAACGTAATTTTGGGCTTCAAGAGGAAGCTTATCAATATTGATTAAAGCTTTGGATGAACTTGAGTGTGAACCAAAATCATCAGAACTTTCTTCATACTCACTTGAATGATCAGGGCTTCCTTGTTCATCATCAAATATCTCTCTCCATGTTTTGATTTTGATTTTCTCTTTATCTCGCAATCTAGTGGTAGGAGGCATTATGACTGAGGATTGCAAGCCTAAGAGTTTTCCGCACTTCGTCCTCCCTGCAAAAATTCTCGAGTAAGGAAGTCTGGAAGAGAGTTTGAAGAACCATTTATAAATTGTATGTCGAAATAAAAAATGCTAAGGATGGCTTGCCATCGTGCAAATATTTGTTTAGAAGCAAGATTTTGAACATCTTTTTCCAAAATGTATTTTGCTGATTGGCAATCAATGCGTAGTAAAAAATTTTGAATGAGCAAATCATGCTGAAATTTTGAGATGCATAAAACAATAGCAAGCAGTTCTTTTTTGACAGTGGAGTAATTGATTTGGGTAGGGTTCCAATGTTTAGAAGTAAAGCGTACCAACAACTCCTTATCATTTTGAATCTGCTTAAGGATTCCTACATATCCTAGGTCAGAGGCATCTGTTTCGACGATTTTAGGGAGAGAAGATCACTTATGTGAAGGAATGGGAGACTCTGAACTTGCCTCTTAATTTGCTGAACTATTTTGGTATGCTGGTCACTCCAGGGAGGGGGACTCTTTTTCAATCTATCATGGAGAGGTTTACAAAGAAGATAGATGTTGGGATAAAAGTCAAGGACATAGTTTAAACTACCCAGGAACCATTGTAATTGATTTTTGTCTAAAATTTGATCAGGAAATTTATCTGCAAATTGAAGAGATCTTTCGATTGGAACAATTGTTCCTTGACTAATGTAGTGACCCAAAAAACGTATCAATATAAACTATTATGAAATTAAAATAAGGAGAGTAGATTTGATTCATAATTCTTCGAAATTCTGAGGGGGCATTTTTTAAACCAAACGGCATGACTTTCCATTCATATTGGCCAAAGGGAACGGTAAAAGCAGTTTTATAGCGGTCTGTTTCTTTGATTTGGATTTGCCAAAATCCGGATTTCATGTCAAATTTAGAAAATATTAGGGACTGTGAAAGTTTCTGGAGTAGATCCTTTTGGTTGGGGATAAGATACCTAATCCATTTCAGAGCCTTATTCAACGGTTTGTAGTTTATAACAAGACGAGGAACGCCACGTTCATTTTCTGCATTATTAATGACATAGAAAGCAGAACAACTCCAAGGGGACTGGCTAGATCTGATAAGGCCTTATTTGAGCAATTCTTTAATTTCTTATCGACAATGTTTTTCATGGTCCGAATTCATTTGGATAGGCCTAGCCTTGGTGGGAATGAGATTTTCTGTGAAATCTTTTTATTAAGGAAGATCAACCCGATGTTGTTTTTTATGCTAAAAAGCATTGGGTGTATCAGCACAAATAGAGTTTTCAATGTGCTTTTTTAAAGAGTTGATTCGTTTTTGCAAAAGGGGTTAGAAAGTTGTTGTAAGATTCGCTGAAAATGTATCTTATCATGCAAATAAGATATTTGATTAGTTTTACAACGAATTATATGGTGTATATATTTTAGGGCTAATACCACTACAACACCCAAACTATGAGTAAAATGCCACTTGTGTCCAATTCTTTTCAATATTCCATTTGTATCCTAAACTATTATTCTGTTAGTGTTGACCGGTGTTGACCGTTAGTTTTCAACATAAAGTCCAGTCAGCATCTACGTGGCATTTGACATGGAATTTTTAATTTTGATAAAATAAAAAAATAACAAAAATATAAAAAGGGAAATTCCTTCCTTTCCCCATCTTTCATGCTTTCCCGTCTCTTCTCCTATCAATTGTTGCCCGATAGATACAGCCCCCGCCAAGAGGAGAGTCCACCCTTCTTCTCCGGCTAGATCTGTCTGACTCTCCTACAAATTACCCACGTTAATCCTATCGCGAGAACTCATCCAGTGAATCCCAATCAGAAACCCCCAATTGAATAATTTGACTCTTCACCTCCATCCATCTCACCCTCTCCGCTAATGCCCATCCGTCGCCGCAGACTTCCGTCCTAGATTCCTTCAGAGAAGCTTGGTCAGTCAAATCGAATTTGGCTGAATTGAGCAAGAACAACAAGTAGCAATTCTCCCTGCCGCCAATCCCGTCCAGATCCCCAAACTTAAATTTAGGGATTGCAAGCGCGCCGCCTTGATCCCCCCCAATATATTGCCCATTGAGACGAAAACGAGGGCAGAGGAATAATCCATGGCATCGTCAATACACTTTGGCATATTTAGGTGAATCGACGACTGCCTTTTCCCCGTAGTCGGACCCCACTTCAGCGTTGGCGGTTCCAAAATGATATCGTCTTCCTCGGATTTTGTTTCTTTTGGCGGTGGAAGTGTCCGATTCAGGCGGATCCTCTATTTTGATCGGAGCCGGAACATTGTTTGCAACAGTGGATACCGTGGCTCTTCCGCCCGCTTATCCTCAGATCCCGGTGGCGATTCTTCTGGCGGAAGCACATTTTGCAGTCGAGAGAAGAGGAAAAGGGAGAAAGGAGGCGGAGAGAATAGATTAGAAAGCAATTTTTATTTTTTGTTAATATCATTTTATTGTTGTTACTTTTTAAAATAATATTAATTTTAGGTTAAAAATAACAATATGACGTGGCAGCCGACGTGGCAATGATGTTGATGTCATGACGCCTATGTGGATGTCACATTTTTTGCCACGTTAGCAAAAGACCTCCTTCCAGTCAACTGTTATCTTTAACGGTCAACGAAATCGCTAGTATACAAATGACACAAAAATATGATACGTTGGGATAGGAATGGAATATTGAAAAGAATAGGGCACAAGTGACATTTTGTTCATAGTTCGGGTGTTGTAGTGGTATTAGCCCTATATTTTATAGAAGAACGTCGTAAAACATTTAGGTTTCAAACTTTCGGTTTTAGGAGAAATGAGAATTCAACCTTGTTGCTTAACACAACAGTGTTAATTCCTTGGTCGGTGACAGTAAAAGGTTTTAGAAGATTTAGAAAATGTGTCCGTAAGATCACCTTTTGTTGCATGTCACGTACTAGGATAAAAGGAGTTTTGAATTCAACATTTTGATGATAAATTAAAGCATTAGAAAATTTATATTGTATTTGAAGAGGTTGAGAGTTAGCGGTAGATAGACGCTCGAGGGTCTTTTCATAGTACTTAGTTGGAATTAATCCTTCTTGGATGCAGTTCATGTATGCTCTTATACCAAGAAGGGCCACTGTGCTTAAAGTAAAATAAGAAGAAACCTGAATATGAATGATAACATACCATTTTTGGGTAGTAATGGTAGATAAAAAAACATAGAAAATCATCATCAGTTAGCATTTCCTCTCTTTCTAAAATGTAGGTTGCGTGAGGAGTTTCATCGAAAAAGTTATCGAGGCTAGATGTTGATGGCTCTTCTAAAGGTTTGAGAGCTATTAAAGTTTGTAATATCTCATGATCACTATTTTGTAACTGTCGTAATTGTTGAATTTCTTTCTTAACAATATCCAATTCCTTTTGGAAGTCAGGAAGAGAAGGATTGTGGGAATCGTTATTACTATGTCAAGAAAGGATATCTTTGACACTATACGTCGAACCTTGATGAAAGGGATTGGTAGGTGGAATAGTCACAGGAGGTTTCTCCATGTGCTCATGAAGCTTTTTGAAATATTTTTCTTTGAGATGAAGATTATCAATATTATTGATTAGATCTAAAATAAGCTTTTGATATTTGGTTAAAACATTGATAGAAGATTCCGAACTTTCATCGATGTCATCAAATTGTAAGGCCTGAAGATTCTCTTCATCATCAGAAGAAGAAGAAGAATCCTCATGAGAAGAGTAGTGTTGGAGAAAAAGATTATTGATTTTATCATGAATTTCTTCATTAAGATTAAGCTCATTGAGCTTCTTTTTTATACGACAATATTTGGAAATATGACCTGTTTTTCCACAACGAAAACAAGTAATGTTTTTATTTTCATTGTTAGATCGTGGTACCTTATATGGGCGGGGATTCCTGGAGAAATGAGATTTTTTATTCGTGGTTTTAAAAGATCGGTAGGGACGATCGCGATGTTTTTGATGAGGTTTGGTGCTACAATCCTCACAGTTAGATTTGGAAGAAATTTTTGAATAAGATTCATCAAACTGAGCACAAAAAGATCCTAGTTCTTTTCGAGTTAGTTTTTGTTCGCGTTTGATTTGTTTTTGAAGTTTTAAATCATGGCAAATTTGTAATCCTTCTTTTTGTATAAAGCTAATAAGTTCTCCGTAAGTAAGTTGCTCATAAGGAATTTGACCGTTAAAAGTGTCTTGGATTTTGTTTCGGATTTTACATCCTAAGAGACGGGTAAACCGGCTAAAAACTTTTCTTTCCAAAATGGTTGAAAAGGTATCTTTGTACCATCGGAAGTCATGAAACTTTTTACAACGAAGATTAGAAAGCAGTCCGGCATTTTTATCTTTAAGATGTGAAGGATCTCCAATAAAATGTTTTGAAATGGTAAAAATCGGAGATGCAACTGCATCTTGAGAAGATTGATTATTGGATTCTAAAATAGGATTTCCAGAAGAATCACATTTGACAGCTGTAAAAATAGTTCTCTGGTCTTCCGCGGTTAAGATATTATCCCACCAACCCTTTAATTGACCAGCAAAGCCGGCTAAAAGTAGTTAAACTATAGCGTAATCAGAAGTTTGATTTTGAGTTTTGTAAGCATTAGCTACCATGGTCAATTGTTGAAGAAGGTTCAAAATTTGATATTTTTAAAATCCAACAAGATTCCATTCATAAATAGAATTGGAGTAGTATTTATTTTGGATAATGGTGGGTTTCTCTTCAAGAGCTAAATCAGGTGCTGTGGGAAGTGGGTAATACATCTTAGATGAAGAGGGTTGGTTCCATCGGAGACGATTGATTTCTGTTTCAATATGACCTTCTAGGTCTTGAATTACTTCGGCTGATTCATCAACGATTTGATCCTCGTTGCTCGTGGATTTTGAGTCAGAAATATAAGGAGTCTTAGAAATGGATAGTTGTGTAGAAAGTTGTTTAAGACGTTTTTCTATTTCAAGCTTAAATTCAAGACTAGATTCTTTAGAAACTTCAAAAGGTTTGAAAATAGAGGAATTAAATTTGTTGGAAGGAGGAATATGAGTATTTGAAGTAGACGCAAAAGACAGAGGTAAACTGATTTCAACATTAGTAAGTTGATCTCCTAAGGTTTGAAGAAATCGATTTGTATAATTGTTTTGTTCAATCAGACGTCAAATATCTTCTCCTTTGACATGGTCACTATTTTCTCGTTTTAATTTTAAAGGAGAGGCTTGAACTGTTGTTCCATAATAAGAAAAATTAACAGGAGCATTAGGGGGGTGAATAGATTGGATCTTAGAGTTATTAGTAGTTAACCAAGTCATAGGCTTGGTTTGAACATTTATCGAAGATTGAGAAAAGACTTGTTCGAACCAATTAAAGAAATAATGGTGTTCTCATATATTATTGAGATAATCATAGAAAGAGTTTTGTATAAGTACACATTCTTCTTTAGAGTAATCAGCAAAAAAGTGCTCGCGTTTAAAACGGTTTCGTTGGGAATAGAAATCATGGCGAAGAAATTCTTTGTTGATTTTGAACTCTTGTGTAATTACATCAAGAGCAGAAGGGATTTCTTCTTCAGGAAATGTAGCTTGTGAGGCAGTAGGAGACATATTTGGTGTTCTCGAGGTATTTATATTTGGAAAAAGAGTTGTGGTAGGTGGTGGAGTATAAACTGGCTGAGGTATGTTGTTGGAGTTGTTGATTCCTCGTAGATCATAGTTGAGTGTAGAGGAGGTATGTTGAGTGGGTGTAGGTATGGGAGAAAGATTTCTACAAGATCGGCTTCTAAGAAAAGTTTTGATGCGCTGTCGAGCATCTTCTGTCAATTCAGGGTCTATATCAGAAATGCTAGAGATGGAATTCCTAGCAAAAGAGATGTTAACAGTACCATCAAGATGTTGAGTAATTTGATTAACCTGACAATGGTCGATGCTTCTGGGAATGGTAGCTCCTTCAATGGTCCATTTTGTAGGAAGAGTAACTTCTCCCCATTTGATAGTTTTGGGAGTAACAGTGTTAGTACGAGTTAAATCAGTTTGCCAAAGTATAGTTTCTCCTTTTGTACCATATTGAAGATATTTAGAAGAGAAAGCAGATTTCATAGCTTTATAGTGTAAGCGGTAAACCAAAGAGATAGGTAAAGATCCTTGTTGGATTTTATAGTTGAAAGTTTTTATTTGTAGGGTTAAAACATCTAAAATATTTTTGTCATGAAGAGAGACAGTAAAGTTTGGAAAACAATTGAAATAAATTGGGCCATTACAAAGACTTGATTCAACAGTTCCAAGTAAAGAGTCGTTAAAATCAAGAAACTGACAATCTTGTAAAACCATTAAAATATCAGTATTAAGGCCTTCTTTGGATAGAGGCTTAATCCCTACTTGAACTAACCCAATATGGATATAGTTGTACTTCTTTTTGTGTTGTTGAATAGAATTTTGAGACAAAAGTTTGATGGTTTCATAATCATTGAAAATATGAATATCTCTTTCTTCGGTTTTGATGGTATAATCCATTTTATTGAGGAAGTTAAATTTGCTTTGCTGATAAATTTCCTTTTGGGCAATCCTAGGAATTTGCCAATTATCAATTTCTTTCCTAACAGTTTCAAAATTAATTTCTTCTTGGTTGATCACACGGTTCCCGGTGATGTCAGAATTAGAGGAAGAAGAGGAAGGTCTAAAAATCGAACTCATGACTAGAGGAAAGAAGGTAAACAAAGGCTGGATCTAACTTATAGGTGAGATAGATTAACGACCAAAGACGGTCTTACAACTCTCTCACAAAGGACTCAGCTAGGATCTAACCATGGGGTACCCATCTCTCAACTAATAATAAGCAAGAAGTTTGAGACAAACCCATCTCTGAACTATCTTAAAAAATATTAAACCGTTTTCTATTTAGCACCCCTGCCACGTACACCTTCCAAGAATTTTATGTCTCCACGTCAGCGCTATAACTCCCCACCAAATTCGACTAACATGAACTTTTTCCCTTTCTCTTTCCCCACGATTACCCCCCCCCCCCCAAATCTTCCCCATGGCCGGCGCTTTGTTAATCTTACCAATGACACATCTGGGCCCGATAATTTTCGTTCTCTCCCCATCCCGTCGGGGAACCCCCTCTTTCCCACTGCTCGATTACACCTTTGTCTCATAAACATCGTTACCTTCATTATTAATGGCGACTATGGTTCATCCCCGGCCTCCGCTAGTCCCTGTAGCGGCAAAACCAGAAACCTTTCGCCGCCTTCGGCATGACATATATCTGCACTTACCCTTTTTTACCAGATAAAGGCGACAACCATATGTTACTCCAGAATTCCACATCGACCCGCCTTCCTCGGTCATGTATTGTGTGTGTGTGTATATCGCTCGAAGGGATTACCGCACCACTTCGCCTCCTCCACAGCCTGAAGTGGCCTTCAGCAAAGCCACCCAATCACGCCATCAAATTCGGCCAAAATAGTGCCAGACGTAGGTAGAAAATCACACCCTTAAAGCATACCCACTTAAGTTATGTTCATAATTTCGTTGCACTAGAGCCACTACTCCATTTTGTTGCTATTAATTCCTAGCCTTCATTCTGCACATTGATTTACTGGAGTTCCAAACTGATAACCCAAACCTACCGTCTTCTCTTTGTCCCTGCAAATCCAGGTAAGTTTTATCGTCAACGTACGTATCTGTTTTATTATATAGATATTGGAGTTCAATGAAACAGACCATGGTATTTGCGATTCTTATATACTCGCTATGATGCGCTTGCCGAAAAGTTAGATTTATGAACCAATCAACAAAAGTCCTCTTCGTTAGTCATCCAATTTTTATTTACCTTGGTTCATCACAATACAATATGCATTCCTTTGTCCACATTTCCTCCTATCTTCTTCTCATAACTGCTGGTATTGTTTAGGTAAAGTCTAATCTCTGCAGTTAATTAAGGATGCTGTCTTTTGCTATGATGTTTGCCATGTTTTGTTTTATTGATAAACGAATTTTGATTACTTTTGTTTCATGATCGGCAACAAAACATATCTACCACTCAAGACTTACTAATTTGTGGATCATATTACTTCCGATGTGATGAAGGCTACACTATAGCTTCTATCATGTCCTTTGATCCAAGGTTCTTTTATTTTAGAGGAACATAAACTTTGAGTTGTAAGGATCAATTTAGGTAGGACACCTGCTGCTCTTCTATGGCATATTAATTTAGGTAGGACACCATCTAAGAGATGTCCATGTATGTTCATTTGTAGAGTTATTGTGGGTTTGATGATTCAGGTTCGAATTGATCATTATTAATTGTTGTATGTGTTTAGGATTGTCCATTTAGCTATTTTATGAGACGTCCTTTTGTTAATTGGAGTTGGTTAAATCTCTCCCTTTTGAGATATTTCAACACAAAAAGGTATCAATGTTTAAACTCATGATCATACCATGAGTTCGCAGTGTAGCATACATCACACTGTTGGTGTTAAATCTCTTCTTGCGTATTTAAACTGCCCTGAGACATTTTTGTTGATGAATTCATGCTTTTTTAAGTTTCGTTACATATAAATATAAATATGGAGTTAGAACCTTCTTTTCTCCAACAAACTATGAACCAGGTTTATTATTCTTTTTCGTCTACCAAACAAAATAATATTTTTTTCCCATCATATAATCTTAAGAACTAGAGTAGCCAAATACAAACAAACAATAAAAAAATCAATAAATTTGTATGCAATCAAAACATCTTAGTTATGCCATACGGCGCATTGTGTAATGCCGTGCTCAACTTTCAACTTAAACCGCCCATCGGGCGGGCCCAAAGCTAGTAAATATATTAATAATAAAATAATATATTTATCACACCTCCCAATATACGTTTTCTCGCTTACTTTCCTTGCAATTTCCTCAATAAAACAACAATTTCCTTCCCCCTCCACAATCTCCCCCTCCAAATTTTTCTTCCTTCGGAAACAAGAGGTAAATATTTTGAAATTGCCCTTCACCTACCTCTCTTTCTACCCTACTCTGTCGGCCTTCTATCCTATGCATAGGGAATTTTTTTTAACATAGACAGATGAGTGTTAAGACAATCAAAAAGTCAGAGGACAGAAAATAACATCGTGTGGAAGTCAACCAAATAGTCGAACTCCGATAAAAGGGCTTGTTTTGCCACAAAATGGGTGGCCCTGTTGAAGATGCGATGAGCTTAAGTAAACGAACAGAACTCAAAGGATTTCGCCAGTCGGTGGATATCCTTCAAGATAGCTTCTCCCGTGGCATGGTTCCGCTCCCCAGCCAACTCTCGAGCGATCACCAATTGGGAGTCCACAAAAAATTTGACAAATAAAATACCCCGAGTCAGGCATCAATTCATGGCATCACGAAGCGCCAAGCGTTCATAATGAAAGGATCTTGATAGTCTCATAAAACTTACCCCACGCAAAAGCAAGTGCGCCTTGTTGATCAAACCCAGCAAAACCGATGTTGCAACTCCTATTTCGCTTGATTCCTCCATCGTAGCGAACTAGGAAAGCTTGGGGGGGGGGGCTTGAAAGGATGCGACCGACCTTGATGACAAAACACCCGACATCACAGGCTGCTGCCCACGGATAGATCTTGAAGTTGCAGAAGACGACGTCTCCGTTGGTCCACTCGGTCCATAAGTAGCAGCACACCATTCATCGACCCGGATCCTGTATGGGCGCAACAGAGCATGAGGCAAAGATTGGATACCTCCATGTACTGCCCAACAACGCCCTTTCCATATTCTCCAGCAAAGGAAGACTTCATCCGACATATGCAGCTTTGAGAGGTGAAAGGAAAAGAAGAGGGCTTGCCAAGCATCCTCCGGCTGCATTGCCACTAACTGGCTGCGTACACCTGCAAGTCCACAAAGTGACCAAAGTGGTTGAGCTACCTTGCACTGAAAGAAACAGTGAGTAAAAGTTTCTGGGCCTCCTGAGCAAACTGGACAATTGTTAGACCCCACTAAGGTCTTGCGAAGGAGGACTGTTTGTATTGGTAGAAACTCTCTAACCAGCCGCCAAAAGAAGAATTTTAGTTTAGGCGGCATCAACAGATTCCACAACGTCTTCCAGAACCTGCAACCAAAAGGCAAACCAACAGGAGAATGTCGAGCATTCAATTCATCTGTTAGTAAGTGGTAGCCTGTCTTTACTGTATATTCCCTGAAGGGGAATAATGCTAGATGAGGCGATCAATAGTCGGTTGAATAGACAAGGGGATACTCAGAATAGTCTGAACTGACTCCGGAGTGAAAAGAGCGAGAAGAAGGTCCCGTTTCCAAGTTCGAGTGCTGCTGCAGATCAGATCAGCAACTCGAGGAGGACTGGTGTGTATACCCGTTAGTAAGCAGGGAGAAGAAGGAGGAGAGGTAGGCAACCAAACATCTTCAAGTACCCGAACAGAATCCCCATAACCTATTTGCCACCAAAGTCCACGATTGAGGAGGTACCTCCCTTCTAAGACACCTTGCCACGCCCAAGAAGATCTGATTCCCGCTTGTGCATCAAGGAAGTGGTGATGAGGATGGTACCAAGCCTTGTAAATTTGTCCAAGACAACTATCCGGGGTTGACTAGTTATTTCCAATATTGAGTAGGGAGTCTGCATATAATAAATGTTGATGTCCTTATACCATCATACTTATATACCATATTCTTTGGAATAATCAAATTGCTTGTTTTGTATAGCAAGTAAGATCAATGTCGTTTTCCTTATATTGTATTGTACAAACAATCTAAAAACTAATTTATATAGGAAGTATGATCTATGTCTTTTAATTGGTTATGACACTTGACACGTAGTCCCTTCATCTAAATGAGTGGTCGAATCTACTATAACTGTCACAAATTTTAAAATACAACCTTTGCACTATGCAGCAACAAATCCTAATCCCTAAAGCCTGGTTATTAAGATGAGATGACATTTTCTCAGTGAGCTAGCCGGGATTTTTTTTGGTATATATATAATATTTAATATCATCCTTCAATTAATTTAAAGTTATAAATTATTTTGATTAAATTACTCATCCTTTTGAATTTCTTCTAAATTTTGGTTGACATTTCTCTTACTCAATACCAAGTCTTACTATTTTATTGCACAATTTTTGTCTAAAACATTTAATTGTTGACTAAAGATTGCCTTAATCAAAGTTTGTCGATAAACGTTATCTTAGATTTAATTTTTATGCCATGACTTACGGTATGATATTCAGTTCTTAATTTAATATATTATCTCGATTTCATAAATAGTTATAAAAACAAACAAAATCCAATAAATTGAATGCTCTTTTGATGTCATTTTGATTCTTGCGTTTTGTTTTTATATAGATAACATTTTGGTAAAGAATTTCTGAGAGGGTTTTAAAAAATGAACTTGATAGTATCATTTTAATCCCAAGAATAAGATTTTTTTTGGTAGAACCAAGAATAAGATTTTGTTCCAAAATGAAAATTCTGAAAATTAAATCTTAATAGTAAATGACTTAAATTCAAATAATTTTTTGCGGAAAATTTTAACATCTTGTTATTATAGAATAAGTGAGAACTTTAAAAATTACGTAGTGGTTGTTTTACTATAATTCATTTCAAATAAGCATACCTGGCGTATAACTAAAAAAAAGTAACTGGTTTGTATTTTGATTCTCTACGGTTTGATTGAGTTTATATTTATTGTTGGTTTATATTTTCTGCTAATATCTAAGATACATATTTTGAGCAATAGTAGACGTTTTTATTATTATTATTAATAAAAAAGGTTTTAATGAATGTGGAGGATGACTGGAAAATAAAAAAAATTCTATGCATCCATTTTTTATAACTTTTCCTTTATTCTCTCTCCACCTCTTAGTTAAGCCATATTCCGGTTTCTATTCAAAAAAGCATTATCCCCGCCCAAATCGAGAGCCCAACAGAATGAATGTTTGCCCAAACACTTCCCCCTTCCTAAAGGGGACGGGATACGGTGACAACCCCTTAGGGGTTGTCAGATTCACAACCAAGGGTATTTTGGGTATGAGAAAAAGGAATATATTAATTACCTTTTTTGTATTAATTATATTGGGAATTAAAAACCCATATTAAATACAATTTTTTTTGAAATTTAAATCCTATACATTAATATCTCTATCTATCTCTCTCTCTCTCTCTCTCTCTCTTCCTTTCTCCAGCAGCCACTCCGCATCGACCGACAAACTTTTTCTCCGGCGAATTCTCTCCGGCAGACTACCTCCGGCAACCTGAAAAAATGTACCAATGCGTTAAAAGTGTATCAATCTATTAGTCTACTGGTAATTAATATACCAGTGCTAGTGGTACGCTACCAGTACATTAAAAAATGTACCAGTATTAGCGATACCAGTAAAAAATGTACCAGTACTAGTGGTACGCTACCAGTACAACGCTACCAGTAGAGAATAACACAACGCTACTAGCACTAGTAACGCTACCACTAGCATTGGCAGCGGTACCAGTAGAGAATAACACACACAAAAAAAAAAACAGATGATAGTGGTACCAGATGATAGGGGAGCCACTGGTATTGGTACCAGTGAGTAGTGGTAGCGTACCAATAGCGCTACCAGTAGTATTGGTACCAATAGAGCTACAAGTAGTATTGGTACCAATAGTGCTACCAGTGGTATTGGTACTAGTAGAGACTATCAGATCTGGAAAAAAATAGGGATGAAGAAAGAGGGAGGCAGGGAAGTGTCTTGACCTGCGGCGGCGGCGACATAAAAATGGTGGCGGGTCAGCGTGGCAGGGCGGAGGGCAGCGGCGCGGCGGGGGGGGGGGGGGGGGGGGGGGAGGGAGGACAACGGCAGGGAGGAGGCGCGGCAGGGAGGAGGCGCGTCAGGAGCGGCGGGGACAGCGGCGCGGCAGGGCGGCGGGGACAGCAGGCGCGGTGGTGGGAGGGCTCTGGCGGTGGAGAGAGGGGGAGGAGAGACGGTGATGGAGGGAGGAGAGAGAGAGAGAGGGAGGATGGAGGAGTTAGGCTTTTTGTTCTTTTTATATGGTAGGGTGAATGATTGGGTGTGGTAAATTTTTACCCTTCCAAAAATATCCTTCCTTTAATCTTAACCGTTAATTTAAAAAAAAAAGAGACAGGAGAGAGCGTATCCAATGACTATGAAGTGGGTTGTGAATCTGATAACCCCCTTAGGGATTGTCACCGTATCTCGTCCTCAGAAAAAGGTATCAAATCAGCAGTGGAGAGAAGATAAGCTTTGAGATTGCTGGCGAAAAGGAAGCAGCCGAGCTGCCGAGTTCATCATACAAAGGTGAGATGATATTGTTCTTAATAAATCATCGTCAGGGGTTCACCCGTGGTGGGTCTTTTTGTCGATCGAATAAGATACTGTGGCTGTTGGGTTAGATCGAAAGCCCAAAAAGAAGAAGGGTAAACTCGGGGATGAGAACGGGAAGATCGAACGGAGAGCTGAAGTAGAGAGAAATCATGAGTAATATTGTGTCATTTTTGAGATAGATCGAACATGCAAAAGTGAAATTGGATACATGATATCTATTGACTATTGGGTCCATCTCTTCATTAACAGGCAATGAAAATAGAGGAATAACTGAATGAGGAAACTGGAGTCATCCACAATAAAAACAAAAAGGAATACTAGGATTTTGATCAAGAGAAGAATGAGCCTAAGAGAGGATTGGAGTGATTCTTGCCGGCCGCCGCCGACTTAGTGGTCGGAGATGGGTTGAAGATTGAGAAGCGGGAGGAATAGGTAAAATAAAAATTGATTGAGATTTGCGGTGAATGAATAGGTAGAGAAGATCGGAGATAATCCTGCAAATATTTTCCTTTTCTGTTGAAATTGTTTGCTTTTATTTAATTATTTTATAAATGGGGATTATCTTGGAGAGGTGAGGAGGCGGAGAGGTCGGAGAAAAATGTAGACGGAAAGACAGAAAAGCCCATCCGATTTATACGGGTTCGCGAGTTTGGGCTGACGTGTCAAAATTTTTCTACTAACATTCCCTTATATTTATGTGTAGAATACAACACTCACATATCATTGTCGATATCATATAACAAACTGAAAATTTCATATAGCGAACCAGTTAATGAGTATCTAATTCTTACTGTAATAATCATAAAAGCTTATGATTCGTATTCCACTTTTGGATATACAAAATGATACTATATTTCATATAATAAGAATCTAACTTAGCCATGCCCTATGAGGCTATATTTCATCGGAGAAATTCACGTAACAGACACTTGGTCTTAAGTGAGTTTAGGAATGAGAATTAAATACTTTTTTATTTTTCCTATTTGATTATCTCGATGTCTAGTGATGGTGGTTTAAGTGTACTATTTAGTGAATTTTTTTTGACCAAGTGTCTGTTACGTGAATTTCTCCGATGAGAACTTCCACGCAACGTGCATCGTAAATGTCGATTGATACGTAAGAAAGAGACTTAGAACGAAGAGAATTAAGGTGACAGAAAGATAAACTACAAACTAATATTGAATTCCAATCTTCTCGTATCATTAAACTGGAGAATGAGTACATATTTATAGGCTAGGAAAACCCCAAAATCTCAATCCTTTCCTTACAAGACTGGCGGCCCTCTCCCCCTTTTCCTACCTAAAACATGAAACCCAATCCACAATGAAATAATAACTAACTCATAATCAATAAACCAAATCCTACTCGAACAATAATAAAGACAAATAATATTAAAAGACTAAATAATAAAGATATGCAAGCCCAGATCAATGCCCAATAGTTACGATGGCTTTATTCTCGTAAAATCCTTATCTGGTTATGGATTTATGCATAACACTTAGTACAATGAATCCAATGCACCCAAAACCTCTTCAATTATTGAAGAATGAGTGGATAAAATTATTAGGGATGAACGGACCTTTTGCATTGTATACCTAACTCACACAGTGTGCTAAACGTATGCAAATAACAATTAACTCATTAATGATCCTTGACCTATCTGGGTCTCATCTCCTAACATGCAAGCAATAGTGAGAAAGAAACCTCACCCAACCTTTGTGCAAATAATTGTAAATTATTACATACATGGTTTATTAATATAAGGCAAATTACAGTTCCATAGCCATAATTAAGGCAAATTACAGTTCCATAGCCATAATTATTCGCATTGTGATAATAATAGCCACATTTTGAAAAATGCCTAAATATAGCCACGCTTTTAAAACTTGCTGGACTAATTTAGCCATTTCCGTAAAATAGTTTAACGACAACAAGTGTTCTGTCAGTTTAGAGAATGACTTGCTTACGTGGCTGCCATCTGGGCGACACCTATTGCCCACCTGGACTTGCTATTCTCATGTAATTGCCACGTCATATTTTTAATTAAAAAATTAATTAATCCAATAAAAAAAGATAAGTCAAAACTGATAAAAAAATCATCTCTCTGTTCACACTCGCCCAAACCCTTCCCCTTCCCCTTCCCTTTTCCTCCCCATCGCCAGCTTCAATCCAAGACGGAGAAGCTTCGGCCATTGAAGTTGTCGGTGCCATATTCTTCTTCTTCCTCTCTACACAACACTTTCCTCCTTAAAGCCCATCAGATCACCCCCTACAGCCACTCAACCTTCCCTTCTCTCACGACCGAACCACAGCCACAACCACTGCATTCTTCTTCCCTCTCTACAAATTATAATTAACAAATTACCTTTGTCACTATCTTCAGTGGTTGTCATGGTTGGGAAGTTGAAAGACGATTGCAGTCTTCCTCGAACAGTCTTAGATCGAGAAGTTGAAGAGCCCTAATCACTGGCGGGACCATTTACTGCCGATGTCGACGGGTTTGAATCTCTGTTTCTCTCCACCATTGTTGAATCTATGAAAACAACCCAGCAAGAGGAGACTGGATCTGGCGGCAGCGAAGCACTGCTTCATCGTTCTTCTGCTATGCCCTGTGTCGGCTACAACTAGACACAAAGCCTCGCGGGGGAGACGCCATTGATATTCAATCCAATTTTTTTGGCGCAGCAAGGCTTATTGTTTGGCAGCGGATACTGGATGGTTGTAATCGTAGGTACGGAGAAGCAATCCGATCTCGGTGGAAGCCTGTGTACTAAACACAGTTCCAGCATGCAGAGATCGGGTCACCTTCGAGGTCTTGAGCGGGAGTCCCGAAACCAGAAATTTCTTTTCTGGCAACAACGTTGAATTTATTCGCAGCCGGAGCAACAACAGAGATTCCTCTGTTTCTGCTTCTTCATCGACGTGTTCTGGCTTCATAATTGAATTTCTTTTCTGATTAGTGTTGTTTCCCAATTCCTGTGCACTCGCGGAAATTCAATTTGAGGGTATATTGAAGAACCTAATCTGGGAGGGTGGATGGAAGATAAAAGGAAGACGAAGAAGACCGATGATTTTTTTTTCATTTCCTTTTTTATTTAAATTTTCTTTTGTTTCTCATATAATTTTACAATAGAAAGTCAAGATTTTCACGTGGCAGTGGGTTTGACGAAAACTTGCCATGTCACCATAAATCGTGTCTCTAGTAAGCATTTATAAAGGTATCGGTAAAGTTTTAGACGGAATGGCTATATCTGTGTATTTTCTAAAATGTGGCTATTGTTTCACAATACAAGTAATTGTGGCTATGAGAGTGTATTTTGCCTTAATATAATATCAGAAATATAAGTATTGTTGTAGGTTAAGTAAAGGTTAAGGGTTCCATTCCCTTTCAAGAATTGTCGAGGTGAGTATTATTGGGTATTTGGGTTCAATAAGAATCTAAACTGGATCACACTAGTTCGCTTCATTCTTATTTCAACTAGATTCCTTTTGAAATTTGTTATATATTCTTTGGTTTAGTTTGTTATGCTATGGACCTGTTCAGCGTAAATTATGATTAATATAGAAGATTGTGTATTTGTTCTAAAATGCTAGGTAAGAAAGGGTACATGACCCTAAAGGTTGACATGGAAAAGGCCTATGATAGGGTCGAATGGCCCTTTCTTCTCGCAGTTTTAGACAAGATGGGTTTTAATTCCATCTGGTAGGGATGGATTCATGAGTATGAATGGGACTCCATCAGGCTACTTTTCCCCTTCCAGAGGGTTGCGACAAGGCGATCCCCTCTCCCCTCTCCTCTTTGTGATTTGTACGGAAGGTTTTTTGGCCCTTCTTCGTAAGGCTATTGCTGAAAAGAGGCTGGAGGGTGTAAAAGTGGCTCATCGGGCCCCTAGGATCTCGCACTTGTTTTTTGCGGATGATTCATACTTATTTTTACGAGGAACCCTCCAGGAATGTGAGAATCTTATGGTGATACTGAATGAATATGAGGATCTGAGTGGCCAAAGTGTGAACTTGGCTAAATCAGCGGTATGCTTCAGTAAAAATATTGTGCGGAAGGACCAGGAATTCTCGGCAGCAGTTCTAGGGGTGGGGGAGGTGGGTGTCCATGATAAATATCTGGGCCTACCTACGCTGTTTACTCGATCTAAAGTGGCGAATTTCCGGTTCTTGGGGGCAAAGTTGTTAGAGCGCCTCCAGGAGTGGAAACAGAGGACGTTATCTTGGGCGGCTAAGGAAACGCTGATCAAATCAATTGCCTTGTCATTACCTCTGCATGTTATGTCCTGTTTCAAACTTCATGTCTCTCTATGTCGTCTTCTGGATAAGCATGTGGCGCGATTCTGGTGGGGTGATGCTGAGGGTCATCCTCGGATTCGGTGGATGTCCTGGCGGAATATGTACAGAAGTAAGCATGATGGCAGGATGGGTTTTCGATGGTTTGAACAATTTAACCAGGCTCTCCTAGCTAAAATTGGCTAGTGCATCCTTAACGAACCGCGTTCCCTTCTCGCTCAGGTCTATAAATGCAAGTATTTCCCAAATGGGACGTTTTTGAACGCTACGGCCCACTCTAGTTCTTCTTGGGGTTGGCAAAGTATACTGTTTGGTCGTCAGTTATTAGAGAACGGCCTAAGATGGCAAATTGGTAATGGGCAATCTGCTTCTTTGCTTCATTCCAACTGGATCCCGAAGCTCCAGCTCGATCCCCCGATATATAATCCTATGATCATTCCTGCGGGTGGGGATCCCCCTGTAGCTGAGGTCATTTTCCAGGGGGAGGGGCGTTGGGATGACCAAAAACTGCGCCAGTGGTTTATCCCTCCAACTTGTCGGGCCGTCAAAGCGATTCCTCTTCCTTGTCAGAGTGTGGAGGACAGGCTAATTTGGCATGATACGTCTGATGGGCTATTCTCTGTTAAATCTTCCTACCACTTGGCGGTTGCTTTGGACAAGCGGAGAAGTTGCTTGAAGGCCACGGTCAGTTGGATGGATAAGGCTTGTTGGATTCGTTTGTGGGATGCGAATATCCCCCCTAAGCTGAAAATTTTTGTCTGAAAGATTCTCAATCAGATCTTACCAACTACTGAGGCCCTTATTAGTAAACGAGTTCTTGTTCTCCCTAGATGTCCGGTTTGCTGGGAAAGTCCGGAAACGATGGAACATCTGTTTCTTTACTGCCCGATGGCGCGGGCTCTGTGGGACTATTTAGGACTGGAATACGTGGGGGGAGGGGTTGCCTCGTCACACATTCCCGTTGTTTCTCAAGAAGCTGATGGCTTTGGTTCACCAGCCCCAGTTGTTCATGGCGGTGGTTGCTGTCCTTTGGCGGATTTGGCGTTCTCGTAATTGGGTGGTCTTTGAAGGCAAACAGTATGGGTTCCCAATTTTGATGCGTCAGTTTCATCATCAATATGAGGAATGGGTACGACTTTTAGTGGATAAGGGTCTACAGCCTTCGGTCTCTTTGGGGAACATATAGGGTTGGAGGGGTCCGAGGGGGTCGTTTGTATGTGGGATGGGGCGATTCGGCCTGGTTCGCATTCTGCTGGAGGTATAGTTCTGTTATCCCCTGCTAGGGCTGTACTTATGGTAAAGGGCGTTCAGTTTCATTTCTTGGAGGATCCGATGACGGTGGAGCTGCTTGTTCTCAGGGAGGCAGTTTTATGGTGTCTGGCAAATAACTTCACCAATGTTCAATTTGAAGGTGATGCCAAGGTGATCATTGATAAAATCAATCAAGGTGATGCCAGAGACAATTGGGTGGGTGCTGTTCTGAAAGAGGTCATGCATTATTTTCGCATCCATCCGAGATTGAGAGTTCGATTTGTAGGTCGGCGTAGTAATAGGGTAGCCCATCTGGTGGTTAGAAAATCCCTCTCTTTGTACCCGATCATGAGTCGTGTTTTTAACTATCAGACCTGGCTGAATTCCAAGATGTAACTATCTCTTCTTTGGAATCAATATACGGGGTTGTTTGGAAGTTGCGATTGTTAAATAGATGTATTGTTGAGAATGCATGTATAATATTATACATGTATTGTCGAATTTGATGCATTGTAGAATACAACGTTTGGTATGTGTGATTGTGTATGTCTCATCAGCTAAAAGCTGAGACAAAACAATCTCAACTCAACAATCTCAACAATCACAACTAAAAGTTGAGATATAAAATCACTCAAAATGAGTGATAGTTTCTGCCACATCACAGAAACGATCCATGTATTGTTTCTGCTAAAAAAAAAAACAAAAAATGATGCATTGTAAAAAATACATGCATAATGACAATCTCAACAAAACAATCACAACTTCCAAACGACCCTACGATTATCTTTTATCAAAAAAAAATTTGTTCTAAAATAATATAAACCGGAAAAAGAAATCAAAGAAAAAAAGCAATGGGGTTACAACTAATTACAACACCCACCTGAGAATTCAAATAAATAATACGAGTGAAACGTTGCCACATCATCCTTGACTTGAAGACATCTACAACTCATTGGGCATTTGTCTATCTCCTAGCTCGCCTAGACACGCTTGGACGTTGTAATAAAAATAGTAATTTTTAATCATGATGAATGAAGTAACAGTTCTGAAGCACTTTCATACTTCAGTTCAAATGATTTAACAACAAGCAAAATAACTCTTAAGTTTATAATTTTTTTAGGGCAAATACAATATATTAGCCATAACTATTAAGCAGCAGGGAATTATAGCCACAACTATCGAAATACAAATTATTAGCCAATCGTTAAGTTTTCGTTAACACTTGTGTTAGTAATGATGACTAAGCTTTTACGATGCCGAGCTGGCTCCCACGTGGCAGTCATCATATCATATTTTTTACGATGCTGACATGGCCTTCTACATTAAAATTTTGAAAACAGTAACGGGCTGTTAGCCAAATCTTGACCCACAACAATAGTTATGGCTAATAATTTGTATTTCTATAGTTGTGGCTATAATTATCCGCTACTTAATAGATATGGCTAATATATTGTATTTACCCATTTTTTTATACCAAATGGTATAATTAATTCAAGAGGAATTTTACAATGCTTTATAGTATTGGTGTTATAGGTTTTTGCTTTTATGGTACAATTTGAAGTTGTACCTTTAATGTTATGGTACAACTTCATATTGTACCTATACTATTTTGTACAAATTTTTTTATGCTACAACTTCAAATTGTACATTTATGTGATGGTACGACTTTAAGTTGTAAAGTTGTACCATAACATAAAGGTACTTATTCCTTTATGGTACAAGCTAAACTTATACATTTAAAGTTATGGTACAACTTCAAGTTGTACATTAAAGCACAAATACTTTATAGCATAGTAAAAGTGCTCTTAATTCAATTATGAGCTGAAATAGCTAATTATAAGCACTTAACTTTTAAGTTAAAACTCATATGATACTATTGTTTGACGAAATGGTTTTTATCATAGAGTGGTTCTATCGAGAGAGGTCTCTAAGAAACATGACTTACTTTATTATTCCTTAGGTAGATATAATATATATTTTCATTGTTACTTTTTCATTGGATTCAATTTAGTATACTTTTTTGTTTAGATAGATTTTTTAATGATTTTTTGGGATATAATATATCATTATTGTATGATGGTGTAGGATATTAGTTCCACTCATTTTAGGTTCAAATTGATCATTTTCCCCTTTATCGTTCACTTTTATCAGTTAATAATTTTTATGATATTTTTCACTATGAAATATCGTGAGCAGAATCTATACACAACAATTTGTGTTATTTTCGCTTTCTCTTCTCTTGATTAGATATTGTGTCCATATTGATTCTTATATTGGTTATTGAATTACTATTTTTTGTTCTGAAGTTTATGAAACTAAGATTGACTTTTTTGAGAAACATGAAACTAAGATGCATAGTGATAAAAAATGTAAGGTGTCATCTTCCCTCTTAAGGCTTAAGCACTACATATCATTGTTTACCTACTGTTAAATCAAAGTCTTTCTAACTTGAGTGCGAGCTACAATGATTTTTATTGTTGTCGATTTTTTCCAAAATATTAGGTATGTTGCTTTCAGTTTTCGCATTCTTTTCAGTTTGATTTAGCTTTTTATGTGTTGCTCTATTAGTTGAACTTTCCAGTTGGAGATCTGCATGCTTCGACTACATTAACGTCACAGTGACTTCTATATGAAACGCCACTCGAAACATGAGTGTATGATTTAGTTTGTTTCTTATTAAGGACACTCTAAACATATACTTTGTTCCATTATATCATTGAATACACTAAAGTCAGTGGAAAAGTCGAAACATTTTATCGTATACTGAAGATTAATTATGCATGTATGATGTAAAACAACTCTTACCATTGTTCTTCTTGGACGTTTTGATATCAATAAGACTTCGTTTGAAAATATGTATTTATGTTAGTGTAGTTTGACATTGTTCGTCATTTTTAAAACTTCGTTAGTCAAATACATCAAATACTTTCCTATATTATTAATGGAGAACTTACCAAACTAAATAGTTACTTCAAACCTCAACAACATGAACCATAACAAAAATATATACCTATACTTATACATGACAACATGAGAATCAAACTCTCCCGGCCAAGAGGCCGGGCCATAATCTAGTTCAAATAAATAATACGAGGGAAACGTTGCCATATCATCCTTGACCTGAAGACATCTACAGCTCACTCCACTTGAAGACCCTTTCCACTCGTAAGAGAAATCGGTAGTGTGGAGAGCAAACTCTGCCTATAAATATTCAACCAAGTTATACTCCAGCATTTGGACACCAAAACTTTTATTTGTTTGCTACCTGTATCATATAATACGAGTTGATCATCACAACTAGTTTGAGCAATAAATTGATCATCCTTCCAACATCCGATCACAACCAACTCTTCCGGGAAAACCCCGAAGGATGAATGTTTGATCCAACTCCACTGTCCGCCACGGCTGCTCAGCAACCAAACGACACAGGTACCATAGTCCTTTTGCCCCTCAAACAGAGCAACCGAACCACGAAACAAGCCGAGATTACACGCCGGAGGATCATCGACGGGACAGTTTATCTTATGAAACAGATTGTTCCCCATATCAAACGCCACCACATAGCCGTTGCGGTTGTTATAGTCCTTAAACAGCCAGTAGAGGAAACCGTCATGGTAAGTATGACAATCAAACAGGCAGTATGTTGGGTCTTGCTGCCCATCCCCGTACGGGTACCCTCCCGCTACCTCGCTCCAGCAATTACTCCGTAACGTGTAGACGAAGACCGACGAGGGGAACCTCGACGACGAGGAAGGGATCCAGTGGCCGTGGTCATAGTAATCATAATTACGAATCAGAACGACCTTGATATCATTATCAACTAAATCCACTCCCATTCCGCAGTAGTCAGAGGAATGCTGCAAGCCAGGGGGTGTTTCTGGAGGCGAGGTGAACAGAGGTGGGTCGGGAAGAGGCCTGATTTCTCGAGTTGCTGGGTTCCACAGGTTGTAATGAGGATGGATCGTGTCGAGGAGGAACAAACCGTTGCCTGTGCCGCATACGATTCTCTCGAGCAAGCTTTGGTCCACGTGGATTGGTGGTCGTCGGCCGTCGTCGACTTCTTCGAGGCAGAGTGATACAGAGTGGCGAGAATATGGAGCGGGCTCGTTGGCTTCGAGGTAGGTGGCGAACAAGGAGGCGTCGGCTTCGAGGTAGGTGGCGAGCAGGGAGGCCTTGGTGGCGGGGTTGTTGGTGTAGTTCTTGAGGTGCATGGAGACGAGATAATGATTTGTTGGGGTGATCTTGGAGTTCCAATTTGTGGAAACGGACTTGAAACGGAATAGGGTTTCCACCGGCAGCCGAGACAGGATGTCGACCACGATGTCGGATGGGAAGTAGTTAGATTCCATGGTGGAAACGGCGGTGGTGGAATATTAATTCCTCGTGCGAGCCGACGGCGGGCTGAGATTTCAGTTTCAATTTATAGCGGTTTATAACTATAGCAGAACTTGGCGGCCCACTCAATTGATTTTTCTTAAGGATCCGAATTGCATAAGGATTTGTCGAGTTCATAAGGACTTACTAATCCGATAGAGATTTGTAGTACCGTGGGGAAAAAAAGGTTCTAACTTTTCTAACTTTATAAGGATTCTTAGGGGAAAGAGATTTGAATTGAGTTATTTAGCAAATACATGTAAGATTAAATCATTTTTTTGGTTCACTTTGAATTACAATGCACGTATTGTCTTTTTGTTGGGCTCATCTATAATCACTCAAAATGAATGATTATAAATCTCTACCAAAAAGGTGAGATTGTTAACAAGGGATTGTCTACCCTACTTTTATTTCATAATTGTCCCTCCAAACTAAGCATTTTTCTAATACATGCATTGAATCAATACATCAAATGGTAATACACATATTGAACAAATGTATCTATTTGAAGAATCTCAAACTCCAAACATGCCCTAAGTCACGGGTACCATTTTACTTTACATGGAGTTCACTAATTGTAAGCAACTGCAGTTTTCTGGTTTATTGAGAAACCCAAATTATATGAAATAGAGATAAATGAATGGTATAGATTTTGGTAGTCATTTGAATAATCACGAGTAACCACGCTAACACATTTCAGGTGAGTAGTATTGGGCTCAATAAAAGAGAACGAATCACATCAGGGGCGTAGGCAAGAATTTTGGTAAGGTGGGTCAAATAGTAATATAGGTCCCGACAATAGGTAACCTGAATCGGATGATGAGAAACAATAATATTCTTATTTTCACGATCAAGCCGCTAGCAACATCGTCTTCTAGCCAACCACCTACCCATTAACCACCAAGGAAACTTCGTCGATCCGGGAGGACGAAGAGGTGTTAGTCTCGATGGTGCGTGCTTCTGCTTCTCTGATTTGCTCCTGAAATCTTACAGATATCTTGTTATGTTATTTCTATAAGAAAATGAGACTTTGATCCGAAAAAGCTTTGAAGATCATAAGAAAATGAGACTTTGATCCGAAAAGTCTACCCTAATTGACTTCAATTGAGTTTTTATATGCAGTAAAGAGAAGCCAATGTACCACAAATTTAAACTCAAGTCTCAAACCCACAAATCCAAGGAGAACTCGTTTTTATAACAAGCCCATCAAAAAACAATGTGTTGAAGTGATATTTAAGCCCACTTTCACTTTAATTTACAACCTACAACCATGGTTCAGGAAACCGTACCGGACATCGTACCGGATTTCTTTCTGGAAGGGTATTTTGTGGTACGACCGTGGTTCAATCGTTTCATACCGGTAAATACTGTTTTTGTAATAATAAAATTTTTTTTTATCAAAAAATCATGCCGGAAAAATTAGAGTACCATTTCGGAGTAATATCGAATTATACCGAAAATACCGAACAATAAATATTATATAATCATATAATAAATTAATAATGAGGCCCACTCCCTAATAAAAAAAGGCCATGGACACCTAGAGAAACCCTAGGCGCCGCTCACCTCCCTTTCACTATGCAAATTCCCCATACCTCCAACTCTCTCCCCCTCTTTTTTTTTATTACTTTCTTTCCTTTGATCTTTTTGTCCCACACGCCTCTTTCTCTCTCTCCCAACTCTGATTATTTTCCTTTATCTCTCTTCTTCTCCCCGATCTCATCATCGGTCTCTTTCTTTTTCTTCCTCTTCTTAAACGACGGTGGGCGGGTGAAGATCGGCGACCTCGGCCGGGACTCGGGAGAAGAGAGGGAGCCTGGATAACTCTGCTCGAGCTGGACGATGGAGTGGAGAATGATGGGGGCCTCGATCTCACATGAAGAGGTGTGGCGCGAGTTGAACGATGGAGTGGAGAGGTCAGAGGAGGCAGGTCGAGAATTGAGATTGAATTGAATGGATTAGGGTTTTGCTCCTCTCCTGATTTAGTTTTCCCCCATTTTCGTTTGGTTAAAATCTGAAACGACATCTTTTGACTTGTTACCATAGAACCGCCGGTTTGTTCAATATCGGACGAAATTCCGGATTGAACCTTTTATACCGAAAAAATCTATCGAGACGCTTTTTCTTCCATAGATTGCATGTCATTTCGTTTTCTGTCCAGTTTTCGGTTGAACCGGCCGGTACGATCTGGTTTTCTGGACCATGCCTACAACTAATTTTAAAACGCATACGTTTTCATTAAACACATAAACTTTTTTGTTTACGAATACATTAAACACATAAACAAGGTTCCCTTTATATGTTTCGATCAAAGCAGCAGCTTATGCAAGCTTGGACCAAGAACAGAGTATGAACACAGAATAAAATATGAAAAATTGGAAAACCTATAACTTGTCTGTGTGTTGCAAAGCCAAGGTGGTGCAGCCGACCCACCTTGGCCTGCTCTGGCTCTGCCCCTGGATCACATTCGTTCGCTTCATTCTTATTTCATCTAGATTCCGTTTGAGATTCGTTATATTTTCTTCGGTTCAGTTTGTTATATTACATTCCCGTTCAGCCTAAATTATGATTAAGATCAAAGATTGTGTATTTGTTCTAGAATATGAAATGGAAAAAGAAATAAAAGAGATCGGTCTCAAAGTAGTGGTCGTCATCATGCCGGTGCATGCCGGCCGATCGAACCTGGTTCAACCTGTACTGGTCATAAAACCGACATGACACCATCGATTGACCGTATGATCGACTTACGAATTTTAAGTAAAATAACGTTGTTTTAGTGAATTCAATTTATTATTTAATTTGTAATTTTAAAAGGTAAAAGTTGATTCTATTGGATTGTTTATAAATTATCCATAATGTTTTATATATGATTAAATACATTAAATGTTAATGATTTTCATGTTTTTACATATTTTGTTAAACCGGTATGAACCAGCGCACACTAATTATATCACCGATCATACCATTCCACTTACCAAACCGACATATAACTATATAAACCAGTTTGACAACGTACAACACCCACTTGAGAATTCAAATAAAGAACATACCCAGTGAAGTCAAACTCCTATATTATATTGGCCTGTCTTCATTGTGAAATTTTTATCACACTATAAACCAATTAGCGATTCGCAACCAAAACATTCTTAAATAGTGACGATGGACATCTTTAAAGTAAGAGAGATTGAGGAAACAGAGGGGAGCTTGGCTGAGGCTATGCGAAAAAAGTTGCCACATCATCCTTGATCTACAACTCACTCCTCTTGAAGACCCTTTCCATTCGTAAGAGACACCGGTAATGTTGAGAGCAAACTCTGCTTATAAATATTTAACCTAGTTGCACTCCATGATTTGGATGCCAAAACTTTAATTTGTTTGCTACCGGTATAGTACAATAACAGTTGATCGTTCCAACGTGTTTGAGCGATAAATTGATCATCCTTCCAACATCCGTACACAATCAACTCTTCCGGGAAAACACCAAGGGTTAAATGTTTAATCCAACTCGACTGCCCACCAGTATTGTTGTTGCGGCTCAGCAACCATATGTCACACCTACTATAGTCCAACTGCCCGTCAAACAGAGCAACCGAACCACGAAATAAGCCGATGTGACACGGCTGAGGATCATCGACAGGACAGTTTATCTTATGGAACAGATTGTTTCCCATATCGAACGCCACAACTTGGCCCTCAACATTGCCATAATAATCCTTAAAAAGCCAGTAGAAGAAACCATCAGAGTAAGTATGACAACTGAACAGGTCATCTTCTTCTGATTCTAGCAGTACCCCATCCTCGTACGGGTGGTAACCTCCTGCTACCTCGCTCCAGCAATTACTCCGTGACGTGTAAACGAAAACCGGCAAGGGGAACCTCGACGACGAAGGGATCCGGTAGCCGAGAGCATCACAAGCACAACAAGCGTTGTTGCGAATCAGAACGACCTTGATATCATTAGCAACTAAATCCACCCCGACGCCACAGTAGTCCGAGGAATGCTTCTGGTGTGTTTGTGGGCGGGAGGCGAACTCGGACGCGAAAGGTGGGTCGGGAAGAGGTCTGATTTCTCGAGTTGCTGGGTTCCACAGGCTGTAATGATGATGGTACGACGTGTCGAGGAGGAACAGACCGTTGCCTGTGCCGCATACGATTCTCTCGAGCAAGCTTTGGCCCACGTGGATTGGTGGTCGATCGTCATCGTCTGGACAGAGTGATATCGACCGGAAAGGATTCTGAGCGGACGGGAAAGGATATGACTCGTAGTCGTAGTCGTCAAGGTAGGTGGCGAGCAGGGAGGCCTTGGTTGCGGGGTTGTTGGTGTAGTTCTTGAGGTGCATGGAGACGAGATAATGATTTGTTGGGGTGATCATGGCGTCCCAATTCGTGGAAACGGACTTGAAACGGAATAGGGTTTCCACCGGTAGCCGAGACAGGATGTCGACCACGATGTCGGATGGGAAGTAGTCAGATTCCATGGTGGAATATTTCCTTCTCGTGGATGAGAGGGAGCGACGGCGGGCTGGGGTTTTCAGTTTCATTTATAGTGGTTTATGACTATAACAGAAGAAGTTGCATGCCCGCTCCATATTGATTTTCTTCAGGATACTAATTGGATAAGGATTTCTCGAGTTCTGCGAGTACAAGGACTTGCTAACCCGACAGAGATTGGGAAAAGGGTTCTAACTTTTCTAACTCCATAAGGATTCTAAGTTACGGGTTAACCATTTTACTGCTCCCTCTTCATTCGCCATCTTTTCCTCCAAGAAGTTAGAAACTCACGTTTGAAAGATTATCCGTGCTAGTACTATTATTATCAGTTGCAGGCATGTGTTGGGAGAATCGTGTTATTAGCAACAAGGTCTTATATTGTGTATTGAAGAGAAACTTACCTTTTATGCAGGGCTTGCCGAGTGCATATCTTTTTGGTGATTAAGGAAAGCAAATAAACTAGAAGGAGAAGCTTTCCGGCAGATTCCAATCAACACAAGTCAATGACAGAAAGAATTTGAAAAGATAAGCGAGGTAAGAAGATTGGGACGCAAGAAGAAGCTTACCATTTATGGGGAAGATTTGGGATCGGCTCAACATGGAAAGAATGCGCAAAGAGCAGCCGTCATATTCTGTAACACTATAAAAGGGGCTACTGGGCCATTAGGCAAAACAACTTTCCGGGAGATCAAAATACTAGAGAGCGTTATTTGCTAAGAGTGTTTTGATAGGAAAGGGGTTCAAGCATACGGGGAGTTGCTTGGTGTCAAACAAGATCAAGAGACACGAGGTTTAACGTGGTTTCCCTGAGTGTCAGGACTAGTCCACGGGAGAGCCGTAACCCTCCAAAGTCAATTGTATTAGGTTAATTAAGCAGAGATACACAAAGCTAGTTATATAGGGTTACACGTTTGACCTAATGACTAAGGCTTGCCTATTTACAAATTGATACCTAAACTTTAACACCCTCCCTCAAATTGAAGTTGGGTGCGCAACATCAATTTGGACGATAGGTACCAATGTCTGCTTGACGCCAAAGCCTTAGTCAAAATGTCTGCAGTCTGATCTTCAGTTGACAGATAACTCAACTTAATTTTTCCTTCTGCCACCAGCTGCCTGATGTAGTGAACGTGAACCTCTATATGCTTTGTTCTATCATGTAACACCGGATTGAGTGCAATTTGTAAGGCGCTTGTGTTATCACCATACAACTGCATGGGAACTCTACAGTCCACTCCCAACTCAATCAGTAATCTCTGTAACCAAACCAGTTCAGAGCAGTGTCCATGAAACCGTACCGTACCTCCGGTTCAACCACGAAATACTAGTATTGGAGGCTAAACGGGTAGGCTGTATTTATCTGTATAATGATTGAACCACGATTAAACCACGGTTTTACCATAAAATACCCACCGCTGACTTTCTCGGTACGGTTTCCGGTACGGTTTCATGGACCATGGTTCAGAGCTGACCTCTGACATCAATCGATACTCCGCTTCTGTCGATGACTTCGATACTCTATCCTGCTTCTTACACCGCCAAGAGACAAAAGACTGACCTACCCGAATGCACCAGCCTGAAGTAGACCTTCGATTGTCAGGACAACCATAGTCTGCATCAGCAAAAGCCTCAATTGTTTCGTCACCAGAGGATGGAAAGAAAAGACCCACGTCTTGAGTTTGCTTAAGATATCGAAGTATCCGGTGAACAGCATCTAAATGCTGTTTTCGTGCAACTCCCAAAAACTGACTGACCACCTGCACAGAATAAGAGATATCTTGTCTTGTATGAGTTAAATAAATCAAACTCCCTACCAGGCTGCGATATAGAGACGGATCTTCCATTAGGTCACCACTATCTCTTGTCAATTTCAGGTTCTGCTCCATAGGAGTAGCACACAGATTGCAATCAGTATACTGAGCAGTTGCTAGCAGATCTCCTATGTATTTCTTTTGTGACACCATAATCCCCTGCGAGGATATCTGAACTTCCAATCCCAGAAAATATGCCACATCCCCCAGGTCCTTGAGCTTAAACGCCTTGTGGAGTGCCTTCTTCAAATCCTGAATACCTTCCTGATCACTACTAGAAATTATCATGTCATCCACATATATTAACAAGACTACCACACCATCCACTGTGTTTCGCACAAATAATGATGGGTCATTCTGACTTTGATCAAACCCAAGCTGCACAATGACTCCATGAAATTTCTCAAACCAAGCACGAGGTGCTTGTTTGAGACCATATAGCGAGCGAGTCAATTTGCAAACCATATCTGCCGAACCCTTTGTATATCCAGGAGGTCTCTCCAAGTAAATTACCTCCTTCAGATCCCCATGTAAGAAGGCGTTCTTCACGTCGAGTTGATACAGCGGCCACTTCTTCATTGCTGCCACCGCAAACACACACCGAGCTATTTGCATCTTAACTACTGGCGCAAAGGTTTCATTATAATCAATCCCGTATTCTTGAAGAAAACCTCTTGCAACAACTCTAGCCTTGAACCTCTCTATAGTAACATCCGGGTTCATCTTAATGTTATATACCCATTTGCTATTGATCACTGACATATCAGGTGTTCTAGGTACCATTTCCCATGTGTTGTTTGCCTCCAACGCATTAGTTTCTTCTTGCATAGCATGCTCCCATTCCGGGTGTCCAACCGCTTGAGCATAGGTGGCGGGTACGAACAAAGGTGTTGTAGCAAAACCCACGTAGTCATTCAGCCGCACAGGAGGTTTACCTATATTGCTGCAATTTGATCTCCTTAGCATAACACCTCCTGTATCCTGTGATATTATATCCACACCATTCGACCCAGAGCTAGGCGACGATGAGCCCTCACCCGACAGCAGCGGTGAATCCGAGCTTGAAGACGTTGATCTCGAGCTCGAACTACTATGAGGGCCTGGAGACTGCGAGAAATGGCTCGAACTCGACGTCGAATGCGAGGAAGAACCCGCCGCCGACGTTTCAGATGACGACGAGGAAGAAGTACCATCCACCGTCGAGTTCCCTCCCTGATTTCCTGGACCATCAACCGTTGAACCATCACCAAAGTCAGGTACAAAGTTCAGGAAATCCAACGATGCCGAGTGAGACTGCTTGTCCTATTCTGAAATAGGATAGTACATAACATTCTCCAAGAAGAAAACATGATATGCAATACGCATTCTCTTGCCAATCGGATCATAACAGTAGTACCCTTTGTGCTTATCACTATAACCCACAAACACAAATTTCATAGTCTTAGGCGCCAACTTGTGACGTTCAGCACGAGGAAGCAGAACAAAGCAGGTACACCCGAATACCCTTAGCCGAGAATAGTCGGGTGACTTCGAGAATAATGCCTGATATGGAGAAATCTGACCCAAGACTGGAGTAATTTGACGATTGATCAAATGAAGCACGGTATGAACAGCTTCAACCCAATACCCACTAGGGACGTGAGAATGAAATAGAAGCGCTCTAGTCAGTTCAAGTACATGTCTGTGCTTCCGTTCTACAAGCCCATTTTGCTGAGACACACCTGGGCAGGAGAGTTGGGAAAAAATCCCTTCTGACTTGTAGAAATCAAGAAGTTCATTCTTAATGAACTCACCACCTGTATCCGATCGAATGATCTTAATCGTCTTCCCAAACTGAGTCTTAATCAGCTGAACAAACTCCTTGGCCAAGGAACATAGTTATGATTTCCTGCGCAGAAAATAGACCCAAGCATAACGAGTCTTGTGATCTATAAACAAAGCAAAATACATGTACCCCATCCGGGATGTCACCGGAGAAGGACCCCATAGATCAGTATGAATTAAGTCAAATGGTGCTTCATAAACTGTCTCACTAGAAGCAAACGAGTTCTGAGAAGCTTTCGCTTCAATACAACTCAAACACTCAGACTGTGAACCAAGAGAGTGCTCAAATTTCCCAGGCAACAAATTCTGACGAAACATTGTCAACAAACGAGCCGAATTAGGATGACCTAATCGGCAATGCCACAAATCCCAAACTGAATATTTCTTGTTCAAATGCAAATCAACCGAATGAACACAAGAATCCATAACTACATTATTCAACGGAGCCTTGATCATCCTGGACTGCACCAAGTCGGCAGCTGCTGCGTCCACACCCCCATGCTGCCCATGCACACGTACATCACCATTGGAGCTCCTGTCATCACTCTCCACAGCAGCCGCAGCATGCGCAATAGCCTGCTTCCCCAGTTCATCCAGAACGAACAAACGTCCATGCTTACTTCCCTTCCCGATCACCTTCCCCGTCATCCTGTCCTGTACCACACAACCGGAGGAGTTAAACGTAACATTGCAGCCATGCTCGGTCAGCTGACCAACCGACACCAAATTAGGAAGCAATCGGGGGACTTAAAGAGTGTCTAGGATATTAACAGATTGGGAAGAGGCTACACCCCGACCACTAACAGGAACAATATCACCATTTGCTACTTTGAGAGTTATAGGAGGAGCAGGATCCAACTTTTGAAAAACCGAACACATGGTGTCATGTGGTTAAACGCTGCCGAATCAATTAACCAGCAAGGATACTTACCCAACATAGCACCCGTAGCAAAGGCCGAAGACAACGCAGCTTGAAGTGCCTCCTGTACCATACGCTGAACCATCTCAGGACTAAATGATGAACCCCCAGTACCTGCAGAAGAAGCTCCACTCGGAGCTTCCGGAGATGACGACACGGCATAGGCGGAGCTGGACCCTCGAGGCTGATCACGCTGGGCAGCAGAATTTCCAGCAGGTGCCGAACCATAATTCGGAAACAAACCTTGCCCCGTCTCGTCAACGGTGGACATTCCGGCACTATATGTATAGCTTTCTTACAATAATTACAGTAGTTTCTTTTCTTGCAATGTATTTGGACATGTCCCGATTCCTTGCAAAAATGACAAATAACCTCGCTAGAGCTCGGTTGGCTGAACTGTGGGCGAGCAGACTTGCCCGATCAGCCAACAACAAAGACAAATTTCGAGGACCCCCCATCAATCTGAGC